GAGATGAACTGCTAGAAAATATGCGTAATAATTAAAAGTTTTCTGTTTTTAGATACAGTTAAAATCATATTCCTTTCAATGCTTATTATTGTTTGCAAATTTGCTTTATGGGTTGCATTCGCAAATGATTCAGAGTTTTTATGCTTATTATGATATCAGTTGTGGGTACATCCTCCGATATTTTTTGCTTATCTTCAGCTCTTTCATCGTTATCAGGCATTAAAGCCGATTTTTTATTTTTTATAGCCGTCGTTGAACAGCCTACCCAATTTTTGGGTTTACGACTGCTAATGTTAAACTCCGTAGCCTTGTTATTTTGAACCCAATCCGGAAGACAAGGGAACTCCTAGATCAAGTATAGAGAAAAATCTTGCTTTCGTGGGGGACTTTTTGGTGGAACTAACCCGCATTTACGTTACATGGAGAGGAAAGACCACGAGAACCTGCCACGGTTAGCCTGACGGCAAGGGAACTCTAACCCATGTTCCGTCTACCACTGAGGATATTTCACGTCAGCACTGTGTGCGGAATTCGTATCAATCAACTATTGCTGGGATTCGAACCCGGTTCACCTCATTGAAAGGCGAACGCTCTATCCTCTAAACCACCACGGCTTTTAAACCACTATGTCTTCCTTGGCATTTCTAACTTCCTATTAGCATAAAAAATAGATAAAACAAAAAGAACATTGAAGGTAAATTTTTTTACTTGGAATAGCAGTTTTCTGCTCCGTCACACTTTCCCTAAACATAGAAAGTTAATCCTATTAAATCATGCGGCGTCATTAGCAGTAAAGTGTAACACAGTTTTACGCAAAAGCTATTTGTGGTGTTACATTAGGCGCAATTGCAGGCAAAAAACATTTTTTAGGAGGGAACAGCACTTTCTATTAATTTTGCATATAACTTAATTGAGGCATTATTATGGCATCAATTATCTCATTGCATACGTAAAGTTATTATCTGTTTCTTGCTATATAAAGCTAGATGTATAATTGCAAACAATTATTTGTTGGATTTTTTTCTTTAATTAAAGTATTATACGATGTAGGGGCTAAAAGAATAATGTTATAAATTCATTAACATCGAATATGCTTTAAAAACCTGTTTAACCATAAGTTTTAAGAAATTCAGAACTTCGTGGTATAAAATTTTTAAAAAGTTAACGGCCTTTATATTTATAATCAGCTTAATTCATTGTCAATATACAGCTTGTTTCTAAGTCCCAAATGATTTTCTTATTTCTTTCGGCCACCTTCTCAATCGTTTGCCTATTTATTTTATTCTTTTAGCCCCTGTATTTTTTTTTTAACCTTTTTTATTATATTTTTTCTTTTTATTTTATTATTATATTTTTTTTCGTTAAAAAAAGAAGAAAAAAAACAGTGACATACACACGTTAACTCAAAATCTACCCCACTTCTTCACGAGCTTAACGTCTTCGGGTGCATACGGGATAACAAAGTATTCCTTCCAAATTTTTTTTGTGGGTTTTTTTTGTTTTGTTTTTGTTCTTGCCTTTTCCCTTTTATTCTCGCTACAGACTTATTTTATGCCGCTGTTAAATTTTACTAACATTACTTAAGTTCGGCTGAGGTTCTACATTTGACATTATCCTATCTAAATGTATCGCTAACTGACGGTGTATTAACTTTCTTGTTAGCGGCCATTTTAGTAAGGATAGACACTTGTTTTATAATTGGAGCTTTAAGCTCAAGGGCAAGAGTAGAAATTGTGTTCGTATAAATTGATCTTTAGTAGTGTATATCCTTAAAAATTGGTAACTTGCAGAAGTATCTAAAGCAAAAGCGTTCAATATATTGATAAAATTTTTGGTGCAATTTTATCACTTAAATAGTAAAAAAAATATTTCTATTTGAGTGGTTTTATGAAGGGATTGTCTACATAAAAATATTTTTAGATTTATCCTCGTTGTTCAGAGTTTTTAATTAAAATAAAAATTTCTGAAATAGGTTAGAAATTAATTTCAATTAACTTTTTGGGCAGCTTTATGACATATTCTAATTATTTAGTCTAGCGGATTTGTTTTATGCTCAACGTGAAGAAATCACTATAAAAATATTTTACAACTAGTAGGCTGCGCTCCCTGCTCGCTAACGCTCCCCCAAGCTCGCCTCGCTCGCTACTAACTTAGGTGCATTGCAAATGCACAAAATTCTAAGAATTCAAACCAATCAACTTTTTTTTTTAAAAATTACATCTTTTTAGTGAATACTAAGTCATTAAAATAAATTTGAATTCAAATAAATAATATGTAATTCGTTAAATCTATTAGAAATGTGCTATAGTATAATTCGTAATATAAATCAAAAATCGTCAAATAAGAGACTTTACTTTTCAATTCATGATTACAAAGAAAAGTTAACATTTTCCAAGTATTTGTATGTTATAATTTCAAGAATAGGCTTGTTTTTAGATATTTGTATAGCATATAAATTCATAAAAAGCATTAAAAAATAACCAAAATTAGTGGTCCTTTACTGGGCAATTTTGTGCTCCTTCACTGGTAAGAGCTGTTCCTTCACTTGGGCTTCTTACTACTTGTTATTTGAACCTTTAAAACAATATTATGTAAGTTCTCTACAATTTTTTTACATAATTTGCAATTAGCAACAAATATGTTGACACGGTCATTTAACTAAAATCACGAATTTTGAAATTAATATGACTTTTTAAAAGACAAGCGAAGCTTAAGTGTTCCTTCACTGGTTAGTTTACCCTATATTAGATATGCAAAAAATGCTAAAAATTAAAATTTATCATTATTTTATGCAATAATTAAAAATAACTAATTTTGAGTTTAATTATTTCTAAACTACATATATTTCTAAGTACGTATCAAATTTTTTGCCATTATTTAATTTTCGTGTCTCAAGGGAATTAAAAGATGGGGAGAAATAACCACCTTGGGAGTGAAAGGGCATCAAAATAATCTTTTGTTGATATTTCGGTAGTTTCTATGTATCTTTTTTTTCTATTGCGATATTTTAACTGGATATAGCATTACGCTACTTGTGTCACCAGGATCTAGTTCTACTTGCTCTCTGAGCAATCATAATTGTTCGAAGGTTATTTAAATTAATTATGATTTTACTGTCTTGAACCTTCCTTAAATCTTACTATTTTGTATACAGTCCTTAAAGATGACACAATTCCTCCTTTTTTTTCTTCTCTGATAACTGAAACAGTATTTCTGGATCATGTTCTCAGCTGGAACTTCTCAACATGTAAGGCAGGTGCAAACGATCTTTTGTCACAAAGAGAAACGTTCAGTTTATTGGAGAGAAAGTTTGCAGATGGTCAGCCAACAGTCATAATTTACGCCAATATTTGAAAGGAAGTGAATGGGTATGTGAGAACTTAAAGCACACCGACAGTATTATTTTGTCCTATATTCAAAAGAACTACACAAACACGTTTCTTAATTTGGAGTGTTCGAAGTCTCCCTGCCGAAGTTTTGTTTACAGTTTCTAACTTTAGAAGGCCTTTAGGATAATCGAAACTGGCAATAAACTCCGTTGGAATGGAATGCACGTCACGTGACTTATTTTTCTACTGTAAAGAGAAAAAATGGAATTTATAGCACTAACGTAACAGACGTTTATTCACCGGCGTTTATGCAATATTATTTGTATTATTCAGGGGTGTGTTTAGAAGAAATTTGAGTTTGTGTATGGATCAGTAGCAAATTTTGTCGCAAAAACGGGTCCTTCACAATCAATTTTATCATAACATTTTTTAGATTGTAATTTAATGTTGTAGAAATTAAGAAAATGTAACTACAGTGCACTCCCGATTATCCGGGTTAATCACCGGGACAGGTCGCACGGACAATCGAAAAACACGGATAATCCGAAAACTCCTTTTATTAAAGAAAAATTCAATATCAGTACAAAAATTATAAAAATTACTGACATTTGCATGCATAACATCAAACTAGGAATTTTCCTTATTAAAAAATGGGTAGTGCGTCTTCGCCATATATCGATACACATATTTTACGAACCGCAGTAATGTCACCGTAATCAAATCCTCCCATATAATCTAATAAAGTTTCCACAGAGCAGCAGAATGAGAAATTGTATTTCATTCATTTACTTCATTTTCTGCATCAGTTACTATCATCACTATTTGATTTAACTACATAACGATGTCTTCATCAGTCAAATACTGGAAGCCAGGCTCACATGCATCACTTGGAAACCAATCTTCTAAATGTTCCTCATCAAGAATTTCGAAACCTTAGATTTCCTTTGCTTGTTCGAGAATACTGTTATCATATTTTTCTTGAACATCTGAAGAAGATTGTTCATCAAGCGGTATGATCTTTCTCCAAGATCGTGATAACGTAGACGAATTTAACTTTGACCAGGCTGCTGATATTCCATATACTGCAATCCAATAACGAATATTGCTTCCAAAAATTTGGTAGTGTTATAACTTCATGAATCAATTTTTTTTAATCTTGAAAATATTTCTCTTTATATTTTTTGTGTGACTCCGGAATGAGCACGGATAATCCGCAAACCGGATAATCCGCGCATGGATAATCGAGAGTGTACGTACTTGTACAAAGGGTTAGCAATTAAACACATTTCACTTGTACGCTTACTTGTCACGATTAGAATTTTTTTTAAATTTCAAGTGAATTTAAATTTAAAAAAAATACAATACAGGTTAAATGTGGTGTTCACAATTATGACGAACTATGCTATTTTATGACCAAAACAGCATACCTTCGTTTTATATCTTTTGTTGCTTCCAGGGACCATTGATGATTTATTTTATGGTCCTTCCGAGGCAAATTTTACTGGTTCCAACCCAACGGAACAACCTTTAATTTCGAGTCCTGTGCTGTTGCATTTTTTTTAGATATTTTTTTTTCAACATTTAAATCTAATTCTCACTACAGGGGGTCATATACAAATTGTAATTGTGTCAACAAAATATCATTTAATAATTGTATATAATCTTTTCCAGAAAACATGAAAACTCTCATTCCGATGTGCCTATCTTTGTCCGCTGTGGATTCGGCTGGTTGACATTCATCGCAGAAGTCCTTTTGGCTGGTTCTTTAGGACTTATACTCTTCTGGGTCTTCAACTACCATGGCGGAGTCGCATGGTCTGGGGATGGCAGCAAGCAAATGAACCTTCACTACGTCCTCATGATAGCTGGCTTTACTTTCATGAATGGACACGGTGAGTATCGAAGATTCCATTCATCCTAATTGTGCTGTAGTCTAATGAGATGTTTTATTGTCTTTAACATGTTTAAGTCCCCAAAGAGACTTATTTAATGTGACGGACTGTAATATTTCAATGGAGCTATATGTTTTACTATGTTGTTATGCTTACTATGCTATATGTTGGAGCTATATGTTTGTAATATATGTTTTTGTTACGCTCTTAAAATGTATAGCTAATGCTATACAGTATTATTGCATATACAGTACATGCAGTATTCTATCCTTTTTTATGCACAAAATGAATAGATATTACCATACATGACAATTGCATTTTTTTTCTCACCAACTGACCTCACATCGTTTAAAGAACGAATTCTGTTACCACGAATCGACGTCGAGTAAGCAATCATTTCTTGATGAAGTTATTATAAAAGAGTTATGCCTAAGTTATGTATGCGTCTGTTACAGATTGATTTTTTTAAAGTATTTTAGTGATTAAGTTTCGAATACATTTTAAAGTTAAGTCGTTTATTTATCTCACTTTAACTGGCATAGAATTGCGAATTTTTCACCTGGTAAAAAAAAATGTTTTTATGTGAATTTAAATATCTTTTTATTGTTTTAACACTTTCATAAATTTAATTACATATATTTGTTCTCGTATTATATCATTTTAAACTCCTTGCCAAAAATTAAAACAAAGTATAACCATTAGAGGTCGCTAATTAAAATTTAAGTTTGGGGGGGGGGAGTAAAGAATCTAGCAAATCATGATTGAGGAAGGTACGAAAAATCAAATTCCATTAGATTACCAGATCAGACTGATAAATGTTTCTAATAATGGCTTTTTAGCTGTTTTCTTCGGTAATCAAGCAGGTTTCGATGTTTTGACCGGGATTTTAAAATTATATTTTAATGGCGATCATTACGGTTACACCCTGTATATAATCTCAAGCTTGCACGATATTGAAACAAAATATTTGTGAATATTGGAGTTCGTATTAGTATTCTAAGATCATCCAAATTAAATCCAAATTCATCTCTTATAAGGCTAATAAAAATGCAATTGTGTCTTATAGTTAGCTAGAGTAGTAACAATTATTTTATTATTCGAAAATCGAACTAACTTTTTAAAGTGTTTGTTTTTTTTTAATATTAAATACTACATTTCACATTCAGTTTTTAAAAATAATCAAGCTATCAAAAACTTTAATTAACGTTTAATCATTTCACTTCGATACAAATTATAAACTGTTTGTTATGAATTATAATCTATGTTACATATGCTAGTTATATATGTATATTATAAATAACTCTGTTACAAATTATAAGCTGCTGTTACATCTGTTTTCAAAAATCAGAAAATGTTAAACATATTTATAATTCAGAACGATAAAACAATTTTCAAATTTAAACGGACTTTTAAAGTAAATGTTTCAAGGATTTGAATATTTCTCGTGCGGAAATTGAAATTATTTAAATGTTTTTGTTTTTTTTTAAACTTTGTAAACGGATGTCTTAAAAGTATCTGAAATTGCGTTGAATTGTGTTACGATTGTTAGTTTATGAATCGACTGTGTTATACAGTCGATTGCTTGTGGGCTTGAACTAGATTTCTACTTTTACGTATTCTTTTCTTTACCTATTCATTCAATTGAATTTGATTTGAGCCTTGACTAGCTTGAAATAAGACTTTATTAGTGGATGTTTAGATTCAAATTTCACTATTGCTGTTTCGGAAATGGAGCAGAAAATGGAATTTGACATTTTTTTTTAGTTCCTTATTTAGTTTGCTTTTTTTATAATCTATTCAATAATTATTCTTTAATGAACAAGCAAAAATTAGGCAGAAATGAGACAATAGGTTTTCTAAATAAATTTGATTTTCATCAATGCAAATGTTGCAATCAATATTGAAGGTTAATAAAAATTTCTTGTGAAGCCTTGGGCACATTTTTTTAAGAAGAAAAAATGAATCGTCATTTCTTATTATACACACGAAAATATTTTAAATGAGAAATATTTAGTCATTTTTTTTAAACTTAATTATGAAGTTTCTAGTATATGCTTTAACCCTTTGATGCAAAATTTCAATTAAATATATTTTCATACTTTTTTTCATTGTTTTGTATTACTTTAGGTCAGAATCGGTGAAAAATATTATATTTAGCATTTTAATAATTTATGGCTATGAAATACAGCATGAAATACCGGTGTCCTTTTTTTTTTATTAAAGATTAAATATTCCAAGCACGGCTCACTTCCAAATAATAATTTTTCAAATTTGAACTTATTAGCAATTATTTAGGTCTAAGCAAAACTGAAACATCTTTGAAATTTCTTTAATTTACAAAATCAATTGAATTTTTGAATAAGAATGAAAAATAATTCAAACTACTTTTTTTGGTTTTTATATTTTAGTATAAATATAACTCCGATAATCTTAACAGATAAACAAATAAGGATTTTGAGTACATCTTCTAATGAATAGATTTATGCATATATAAATAAAATCGCGTAGTTTTTATATTTTAAATCTCGGTTCTATTTATTTAGTCAAAAACTGGAGAATAGTTGGTTTAAAGGAAGAAAAAGAAGTTGTCTAACTGTAGAAAAGTTAACTGTCGGTAAAACGTTCTTTTAATACAATATGAATTTCTTACTCAAAACATTATACATTATAAACATTATGCTTTATAAATAGTTCCTACACTATGTAAATAAATTAAAATATAGTTAATATTTAAAATGAAGAAAACTGTAGCTCGCCCGTAAGCATTTTATTTTGGACATAACTAAAAATGCGTATTTGAGAAAATGGTCATCGTTCAAAAAGCATGTTTGAAAATATAAACATGGCTAACAGTGTGTAGTTGTGAAAATGGACAAAGCTAAAAATGCGGTGACTGCTCAAAATGCACCTTTTTAGTTTCAAAAAATAATCCTAAATTTTTACAACCAGAACAATATAATTTGGAATTTTTTTTTTATACGCGAAGGATTAGTTTTACCTAGCTAAGTCCAGTAATTCGAAATCAGGGTGGTTAAATCTAATACAAATTTAATTTCTCAGGTGATCTACAAAATCATTATCAGATTATTTACAAAATTAGAGTAAGTGAAAATCTTTTTTTTTCCAACAGCATTTTTTCGAACCTCGAAAAATCACTACCTAAAATGTCAAATAGCTTCTGGATCTGAAAACTTTTATGCCGTCACAATACGATGAGTTTCATTATAAATTTGCTCACGTAAAAAATGCATAAGTCAATTTCCCACGGGTCTCCCAAAACTATGAGGATAAAACTAAGACGAAAGTGAAACATAAAGTTGATATTTAAATAAATTTTTGACCATCATTACATACTATATTTTTGGAGATAATATGCGAATTCGTGTATATCAATGGAATATCATTAATATTCCATTGATATACTAATGCATAATGTATACTAATGTATATCATTGATATACATTGGTTTAACATTGATATACATTAGTATTCCATTGATATATATTAGTATTCCCATGGAATATGATAGTAATAAATTCAGAGTACCTTGGGAACCGTGTGAAAAAACGGTAGTATACCTATAAAATCAGTTTAAATTTTTTTTATTGTTTTAAAATGTTTTAAATACCTTATGCATTACGAAATTAGTACGATTCATTAGTTAATTCTCTTTTTTAAAAAAATAGTACGCAGAGAAGTTTTAAATACAGAATGAATTTTCTTAAATGCTCATAATGAGTTATGTCAATTTTAATTAAATACGCATTTTAAACTATGAACATTTCTTTTTAAACGCGCATTTTGATCTATGTCCAAAATTAAAAGCTACACTTTTTTAATTTTCCGAAATGAATTTTGTAAGTTTAATGTTAGTGAATATGTAAAATATTATGATACTTTTAGTTTATAAGGGTAGCCAAAGTCTAAAATTTAAAAAAAAAAAGGTGGTGGTATATGTTTTTTGAGGTTTTCGTAAATTTTATAGGCTTAAATTTCACGTCAATTTTAGGAATTCAGTTATTCAGTTTGCAAATATTTTTGATCGATAGTAATTAGTTGAAACATTTTATTTCCCCTATCTTTTTGTACCAGCTTTTAAATTTTTCTGGAATCTATCCTGCATGCATTCTTGACATTCTAGCAATCATCGAACTAATAAATACAATGAATTACTTCATTTAAAATGCATTCTTCACATTGTTTACTCGTGTAATGTTATCATGTGTTCACGATTATTATCATTAATAATTTTATTTCTTTTCATCATCATACGCAATTTACCAATTAAATGAAGAAATTAAATGGTATTTTTAAAAGCGATTTCGGCTATCCTCAATATCATAAAGTTCTTCGTGTTTTTTTTATGATTTCTGCTTTTTCATTTACTAAAACAGTAAATTGTATTAAATTGAACTTATCGATCCAATCCAAGGAATGGTTTGAAATGTTGTATTTTGTGCCATTGTTTTCTAAGACATAGCATTTCTTTTATACAGCCATGCTTGTGTATCGTTGTTTTCCCTGCTGCAAGAAGATCTACGGGAAGATAGTGCACGCTATCCTCTTCGTGATGTCCATAGCCTGCATTTGCATTGGAATGTACGCTGCCATCGATGCACACAATGATGGACTCAGACCTGTACACTTCTACAGCATGCACTCTTGGATTGGATTAGTTGCCTGTGGTCTTTTCGGATTACAGGTCAGTCTATGTGTTATTACTATAATTTTAAGTACTAATTAAAAGAACATGTTCTTGCATCTAAAATAAAACTATGTAAGGAAATAGTAGATTAATTTTTCTCTCTTTTTTTGAATTTGTTTGGTTGGTTGGTTGGTTGGTTGGTGTCTTATCCTCTATTGAATCATATTTCATGGTGTGCTTGAATAGTTTTTGTTATTTCTATGGCATTAAAAGAATACAAATCCTCTTCTGTGGGGTAGTTTAAGAGGTGAAGGCCTGCAGCGACTGCAGGGCAGTTAAAAACATGATATGGTGTCAGCTCCACATTAAGACAGTTGCCACAGTTTTGATATTTTCTAGTCCCATCTGTAGAAATTTTCATATTTTTATGATGTTTTGTTCTTAGTCTGATGAGAGTAGTGGCTGTCTTCCTATCGATGTCAAGATTAGGTATTTGATCGTGGGCTTTGATTTTTAAAGGGGTGAATAGTCTTTTTTTTATTTGAATTTGTTTAAAAGTACACTATACCGCGTGTGAAATTTGTCATCCGAAATTCTATTTCATCTTAATTGATAACACAACACTAGAGAGCAAATGTTCGGTTGCTGTGGGGAGAGTTATTATCGACCATGTCAACCTTCATCTATGAAAAGGTACCCCATCAGAGAATCGGGTTAACATGTGTTATATAGTAGGCAAGGGTGGCGAACCTTTATACACCAACGTGCCATTTTCTCTAAAAAATTGCTTAATGGGGTCATAGACGTGCCGTTAAATAATTTTGACTTCGTGATTATTGGGAAAATAATAATATTAAATACTATCAACTCAAAACTCTTTACTTACATTGAAAAAAAATACATTTTGCAATATCTCAGTTATACGCGTAATTCAACTTAAAGTAACATCAATGTGACTTTTGTTGTTGCAGATTAGATGACCAATAACTTATATTAGGTTCTAAGATGTTAGTTTAAACAGGACCGTTGATTTTTTTGCTAGTTATTTAATGTTAGCTCTTTTTTTACGGTTATTAATTGTTTTTTAGTATTAATTTTTAGTATTAATTTTTATTAGTAAATGTTTAATATTTTGTTTCTTTTTTGTAAATTTTAATTTAATTGTTTCATAGCGTAATAACATTTGTGTAATAACAATTGTGATCGGTGGAGTGCCCAAAATATTGTGTCGCGCGCCATCCCTGCACTTGGGAATTGAAATTGTATTTTTGTAGTGGTAGATACACTACAGTTGCATTTCTACAAATGCTTGATTTTGCCTGTTTCGGGTGTATGGAGTTCAAATCTGATAATAGTTTTGCACCTAAAGTTTTAGATTTTTTTCCATGGCATTTTTTGTTGAAATGTACAAGTTAAAAACGCTATAATATAAGAGTGGATCGCGTAAATGTTGCAACAAACTTCTAAAGGAGTTAGAGCGCACCGTCGGGATTACAATTGCACAGGAACTCGCCCTAGGAGCTTGTCGCAACATTTATGTGACACCTGTTATATATAACGCTTTTAAACTTTTACATTTCTACTAAAAATAGACTAAAGTTGTCATCTAAATATTTAAAAAAAAGCTGTGGATTGGAGAGAGAAATCGGTTGTAGATTTGAAAGCAGCCATGAGAATATATCCACGATCAGTTAAAAACATCTCAAGTAACAGAAGAAAAAAATTTATCAGTGTAATTTAAAATTTTACATGTAAAAAAAAAAATAAAGTAAATCCAGAATAAGTTATGAAGTTTCAAATGCTTTTATTTATTTATTTTTTCTCAATATCAAAATGAAAACAAATTATGGTTGAATTGCTTCTTCACTGCGTGATTCTGTCTCAATTAGTTGTTTGCCTTTTTATATTTTGAAGAAAAAATAAATAAACTTTATAGTTTAATCTGGGTTTACTTGAACTTTCTTCTTTTTTAAACTTCAAATTTTAAATTACTAATGAACCAAAAACAGAATTTATCATGAAGCATTTCTGCCATGCTATAGTGTCCTCTTAACAGAGAACGACCCCTTGTATGTAAATGCAGCAATTTTGTAACTATTTTCCGTATTTAAATTCATCAAACACTCTTTGCTCACTGTTACGGTGAAGTAAAAATCCAACTGTTCGATTATGAGTTTTTTATTTATTGTTTTCGCTCAATTTTGCATTGTAAAACTACATTCTTTAAAACGATGTAAAAAATTTTAAACCTTACAAATCAACATATTTGTGACTATTATTATATAAAATAATAAAAAATAATAAATATTTAATGAAAGTTATATTTTGCATGGAATTATCTTTGGATAAAGAAATTTTATAACTGTGAGCGAAAATTTTTTAATTCGCTTAAAAAATTCTTGATGTATGGCGAAATACGCAGAAAAGTAAAAGTAATAATTAATTAGTCCAAACTTTAAGCCACTCTCCTGATCCAACTATTGGGACCATATTTCCAAAGTTACGGCTACATCCTATATCTTAGGAAACAGAAATTCAAATTTGTTGAAAAAAAGTTATGTTTATTCAAAGAAATTACTTTTTTGTGCCTAATTTTTTAACTTTAAATATCGTCTACACTAATTAATCAGCATATCTTAAGGTCACCCCTCGCACTATTAACATTGAATCCTAGAATGTGAAGATCGATCATTAGATCAAAAGTTATTCAAAATAATCCGTTTTTTATTTCATTTTATTTCTTTTTTTTTTATCGTTCAACATATAAGCGATTAAAATTTTTACTTTTCACATTCTAAAATTTCCTCAACGAAAGCAAGTTTGTCAAATAATATACAAAATATTTTTCAATTCTACAAATGAGCGAGTAAAATTTTCGTTTTGATGCATTGTAAAAAATTTTTCAATTCACCAAATGAGCGAGTAAAATTTTCGGTTTGATGCATTGTAAAAAATTTTCATAAAATATTTCTCTCTTTATTCCTTATTTATTAAATTGTATAAAAAAAAAATTTACGAGTTATTCTAAATTTTCCCTTTTTCCCATAGTTTTTTTTTTTTTTTTTATTTCCAATGCAGCAGGTGATACGGACATTATCCTAACGCCGTACAGAGATCAAAATGAAACAAAAATACAAATACAGAAGGAGATGAAGTATACAAAATACAAAAACAAAAGCAAAACATCAACACAAAAATTAATTCAAGAACTTAAATTGAACAAAAGTTCTCTGGCCTCCCAGTATCGGGAGTAGATGCAGTTCTTTGTGAGAACTGAACAGTTGAAAAGATGTCCAGCATTCATCGTCGCACCACTGCGGCAGAGGAGGCAGGCAGGATTATCCACTATTTTAAGACGGAAAAGATGGTCGTATAAGCAATCGTGCTTGGTAGCAAGACGAAAGGCAGCTACAGCACTGCTTCTTGGGCAATCGGGGAGATTAAAGATGTCATTTCCCCACGATTTTTCTTTTGTTCGTTCTTTTAGCAATGATATATGTGTTGTCTTAATTGCATGATTAATCATTAATGAAGTGGACTTATAGCTAACCAAGTTATTTGGNTATTTTTTGGGTTTTATTTCATATTTTTAAAGCTTATTAAGCAATTCAGAAAAATAAAAAAAATTGCCCCATTTCTTGAACCAGTTTACCTAAAGATAATTGCATTCAAAAAATAGTTTTTCAAATTATTTTTAATTATTTAATTTAGTTGTGGATGAAAACATTTTGAATTATGATAGTTTTTTTTATACAATATTAATCAACACATTTTTCTATTAAAAAATCTAAAGTTTCAGCTCTTTTTATTTAGTATACCAGCAAAAAATTAAAATTAGTAATTTTTTAAAAAAATAGTTTCGCGACAGTGTAGAAATATTTAAATTTGGCGATTAACAATTAAATGTGGTTAACTTATAAGGAACTTGACTTACTCAAGCGTATCGTGAAATTTCATTCATATTTTTTCAGCTGATAGCCGAATGTTAATCTTTTTTTTTTTTCCTTTTTCTTTAATTATAACATATGATGTTTCTCTTTAAGTCGTCTGAAAATGTATTCGTAGTTTTACAAAGAGATTTGATTAAAGCATTATATTCAACGAATATGTTGAGTTTTATAAAATTATGTTTCTGATAGAATGTGGTTATACATCTGCTTTATTTTTAATTTTAATTTTACTAGGTTCATAGAATAATTAATGCAATTTCAAGACACAATTATAGTTGCAGTGATTTAGAACAATATATATTTTATAATTATCAAGTAATTATAACTTAAATGAAGATAAAAGTTTTTATAAAAGGTATCGTTATATTTTCTTGAATAAAATTGCAGTATCACCGTTGATTAAGTGAAATAGTGTTTTAATATTTCCTGCCACTACAAAGAAAATAAAGTTGCCGAATACGTAGTCGACAGTTTTAAACATCTTAACATTTCTCAACATGTTATATATCGTCTTAATTTTAAAATTAATTTTTCAATTACCTGGCAGCGCGTGTTTCACAGTACTATTTTACCCACTATTTAATTATATTTTTTGGTTTTCAAAATTTTATTCCTTACACTGCCCTCCATCTATAACAATGGGCTCGCCCTGGTTTCCATGGTAACAATGTTTTCATGGGCCACGTTAGGACCCATAATTCTCATAGAACAATTCCTGACGTCTGTAAGCTACTTGAACATAGTTGCAGACCAGGTTCACCCATTCATGGCAACAGTTTTTCCTGCGGGGGATGGTGTTTACCATGCACCATGTCATAAGGGTCGAATCGTCTTGGATTGGTTCAAGGAACATTCTAGTGACTTTCAAATCATGTCTTGGTCCCCAAATTCACCTGACCTTAATCCAATAGAGCATTAGTGATCCTACTTGGAAAACCAAATTCTTGCTGCCACGCTACCCCCTCGCAATGTGAGGGAATTGCAGGACCAGTTGGTGAGCGCTTGGTACCAGATACCTCAAACTACCTATCAGCGCCTTGTGGAAAAAAATGCCACGGCGGGTGCTAGCAGTTTTGAGGCTATAGGTGTTCCTACATGTTATTAGCAGGGTGGTCATAATGTAACGGCTCTTCGGTGTATAACGTTGTTTCAAGTTGTAAATTTCAACTAAAGATAGACTAAAATTCAATAAAAAAAAAAAACTAGATTGGAGAGAGAAATCTATTATAGGTTTGAAATCAGCGATGTGAATATATCCAAGATCCGTTAAAAGAAATCTCATGCAACAGTTTCCCAGTCTAATTTAAAATTCGAAGTGTTAAAAAAATTAAATTCAAGAAAATTCAGACTAAGCTATGAAGTTTCAAATGCTGAATTGTTTTTTCAATATGGATTTACTTGAACTTCTCTTCTTAAACTTCGAATAACTTATGTAGATAAAACAGAATTTGTCATGAAACATTTCCCCCGTGGTCTTGCGTCTTCTTAACAGCGAACGAATTCTAGTACGTAAATGCAACAATTGTGTAACTATGTTCTGTATTTAAATTCATCAAACACTTTTTCTTCACTTCTACGGTCAAGTAAAAATCCAACTGTTCGATTCTATGTCTTTAATTTATTCCTCTTAATTCTCTTTACGTCTTTTTCTATCAAACTTTTAAATTAAATATTCAGTCAGCAATTTTATTTAAAATATTGCATGCAATAGAAATTGCAGCATTTTAAAGTTATGCAGCATTTCATCTTTCAATATCCATATTAACAAACTATTTCGGGCAGTTTTTTTTTTTTCAGTATAGAATTTAAAGCAGTATGCAACAGATCGGTATGCAACATTTCAAAATGGCATGTTGATTCATGGCTTCTAATAATATCTTTGTCATCTGAATCAGCATGTTAGTTTTCTGAGATTTATGTTTCATTGGTTAGTTTCGCTCAAAAATATCCTCAACGTAGGGGAAAAAAGAATTACTTCGAATAACTTATGATCGTATCTTTACGTCTTAGGACTCAATCTTAATGGTTCAAGGGACTGACAAATTATAAAAAATCGTATTTTGAAAATTTGATTTCTCAGAAACGTTTCGACCAATTTGACACAAATTTTGTATTTTACCATGTAAAATTACATTCTTTGAAATGATGTAAAAAATTTTATAGAATCTTTTTATTTAATAATAATCACAAATCAAAATTTTTGTGACTATTATTAAATAAAATAATAAATATTTAATGAATGTCATATTTTGTATAGAATTATCCTTGGATAAAAATTTTTTATAATTGTGTGCGAAAGTTTTTAAATTCACTTAAAAAGTTCTCGAAATGTGGCGAAATACGCAAAAAAGTAAAAGCAACATTAATGGGTCCAAATTTTAAACCGCTCTCCTGACCTAACTGTTGAGACCATAATTCCAAGTTTACGGCTACATCCTATATCTTAGGAAACGGAAATTCAAATTTGTTGAAGAAAAGTTACGTTTATTTAAAGAAACTACGCTTTTGTGCCTGATTTTGTAACTTAAAATATAGTCTACACTAATTAATCAGCATGTCTGAGGTCACCCCTTTGAACCATTAAGATTGAATCCTAGAATGTGAAGATCCGATCATTAGATCAAAAGTTATTCAGAATAATCCGTTTTTTTTATTTCATTTTATTTCCTTTCTTTTTTTTATCGTTCAGCATATAAGTGATTAAAGTTTTTACTTTTCACATTCTAAAGTTTCCTCAACGAAAGCAAGTTTGTCAAATAATATACGAAATATTTTTCAATTCTCCAAATGAGCGAGTAAAATTTTCGTTTTGATGCATTGTAAAAAAATGTTTCAATTCACCAAATGAGCGAGTAAAATTTTCGGTTTGATGCATTTTAAAAAATGTTCATAAAATATTTCTCTCTTTATTCCTTATTTATTAAATTGTATAAAAAAAATTTTTACGTGTTATTTTAAATTTTCCCTTTTTTCCATAGTTTGTCTTTGGATTCTTCACTTTCCTTGTCCTCATCTGCTGTGATAAAGCCACTGCCAAATTCCGACAGACAATGTTACCCACTCACGTGACTTTTGGAATCGTAATCTTCACCGTAGCAGCTGCTGCTTCACTCACTGGTCTCACTCAATCTGCCAGATACAGGCTGAGGTATAATTTACATATTTTTTTACACAGATTATCGTCAATGTATGAACCTCAGGCATTCTGTAGAATATTCAGTCGATTATATAGAATGAATGGCGTTTTAGACAAAGAATGAAAAATAAGAGTAGCTAGCTATATATTTTGCTAAGTCATTGTATAGAATGTTGCATCGATGGTATTTATTGTATAGTCATAGTATTCACTGTATAGAACAACAGTCATTGTTTGGTCATGGTAAAGAAGGCAAATTATAAAATATGAGATTTATTACGTGCGTTGCCTAGACAATGCATAGATTGATTGTGGGATTCTCCTTAGCCATTCTATAGAACGCTAGATAATGCGTTAAATATTAGTAAAATATTTGGTATTAGTAATTTAACCCTTTCGCGAAGACTGTCACAAATACGTGTCAGCATAAAAACCGTATCAATCAGAGTAAAAAGATAAAACTGGTAACCAAAGTAGTTCTTTAGCAGTTTTTTTGTGGGCGTGGTTATGATAGTTTGCTTTATTTAATTTACCATTACTTAGTTCGAATTGAAAATTGTATAGTTACACTTTTAACACGTATGGATTAGATGTGGTAGATTTAAAGTGAAAATAAAAATATATCTGTCAAATTAGTTATGCCCAATCTTAAGCTACCGCTTTTTATTTTTTACCATCCGGATACTGATTCCTTACTAATACATTTATGACTCGCACGTCCCGAAAGGGTTAATACTTTAGAACGCCAGTTTTTTTACATGTATATTAGAAATATGAAAAGTTTATTATAAACGTGCAGCTCTTTCAAGATTAATTTTCTTGCAAATAAAGTTAGACATATTTTTAAATGAAGGCTATCTTTATCAAATACCCTTTATGTTCTGCAAAGGCGTGTATATGACAGAAAATTTTAAATAAAAATAGGTTTGCCGCTCTAACAAACTTAAATCTATTTGTAAATTTCCGTTAAAACTGGGAATTTCAGTCATTTAAAAAAATAGTTAATATGTAAAGTACTGCTAAAGAGACAACAGATATTTTATTTATTATAATTAATTACCTTTCATTTGCCTCTGAACTGATACCTATTGAAATTATTATTATAAGTGTATGCGTTTTAACCTTCAATCTACGGTGCAGTTTTGCCGTTTTGTTATAACATGCAGATCATGAATACAAAATATTAGAATGACATTTTATGACACTACCTATCACGTTCTAGAAATAAGAATAAAATTAAAAATTGACCTAACCTAGACCCGCCTCAACAGGGGAATACTGAAAGCCTGAAAATGCCTGCCCTGTTCTATTAGTACAAGAAAACTAATAGATTGTGATGAACAAAGGAGGCCACTAAATGAAGCAACCTTAAGAGTGATCTTGGGTTGCATTGGTGTAAATTTGTAGATAAAAATATATAACTATATATATATATATATAATAATAGTTATAACTGAAAATATATAACTATATATAGTTATATATTTTTATCTATATATATATAAATAACAGGGTTACAACCCCTTTATTTTTGGATTGTTATAGTCAAATTAGGAGATTTCAGAAGGCCATAATTCTTTACTAGCTTTTATTGAATTGTTCGATGGTAGAAGCAGAATTCGCACCCACTCTCCCAGATGGAGGGGGGAGGACACAAATACAAACAAATCTGACCTGACGAAGTTTAGTTAGTGTACATCATACAGCAAAAACCATTGCTCCAACATTATATACTAACAGAAAAGGATGTGAAAAGGCTCAGTCACTGCATAGTTTGTAACTCTATGCATCATCGATAATCATTTAATCCTTCCTAATAATAATTCTTCCTTTGAAATATAAATCCAATTATATTTCAATAGTATGTTTTCAGCCTTGAAGTTCCAAAATAGAATTTCTACACATATTCTTTACCAAAGACATTTTATGAAAACGAAAGAGTTTTAATGTTGTTATTAATACAAAAGTATTTATAATTTTTGTATTACATATATATATATATTTTTCTAGTGGAAAAGATGGTAAACCCAACTACAAAGACTTCCCAGATCAAGGAATCATTCTCAACACCCTTGCTATGTGCCTCATCGCCTTATGCATCATCATTCCCTACATCATCCGCAACAGCACCTACAAACGATACACAACCCTCACCATCAACTGATTTAAACACCTGTCGCCACAATATTATTTACTAAGACTCATTTTTTTTTTTTTACCAAGGCGATTAAAGATGGCGGCTGACTTGGATGATTGGTAGTCGACTTATTGACTACATCATGCAAGTCAAGTTAAATCTTCATTTGAAATGTTTTTATATAACTGTGCTTTATGAAGTATGTTTATCGCTGTGTCCTTCTCAGATTAAGAATTGGGAAGGGCTTTATAATTTGAAGGATGCATCTTTACTTGACGTAAATGACATTTCTTATTTCCATTTGTATATTTGTCTTTTAATAATTTTAGTGGAAACAAATATTTTTAAGATATTTATTTATAAACCTTTTACTGAAACTTTAGAAATTTTTGTACATTAGTATTGCTATCATATTGATTATAAAGCAATGTTTTTCAGAAATAAATTGCTTTCAATTCTTTTTTTATTGTAATAATTTCAATTTTATTATGAGTGTTATTTTGATTTTATCATTTAATTCTCTAGTTGTGTGTCAAAAACCATTCTTCTAGATTTTCAATTATATTAATCAGTAACATCACCTCCTATTCATTACAATAAATCTTCTTGATTTTTCTCTTTTTTTTTCATTGACATGTTTCAGGTGATTTTAATTTAAAATATATATATATAAAAAAGTAAGTAAAATAATTTGTTACAATAAAGCTATGGCTATGTTTTTCATTCTTAATTGCTGTTGAATTACTAAAGTGAAATATAAAGTGTATTTTATTTTAAGAAAATAATTTGTTTTAATATATAAGTGTAATGTCTATCAATTTTTGTTTGTAATGTATTATAATTATATAATAATTTTTGTTTGCTGTTTGCTAATTATTTTGTAAACATTTATTATAGTTTTTTTTTTTTAATTTCCTAATTTCTTTTTATTCATTACATCTTACATGAAAGCAACAATATACTTAAAAAATTAAACGCAATTCATTTCCATAAATGATTTGTTCATTTTTATCAAAATTTTCTGAGATCAATTTTTATAATGTATTCAAAACATGGTTTTGAAAATAAATCTTTATTGATTTTACACAAAATAACTTTATTGACAAATTAAAGAACTATAGTTACAGTATTTTAGCTAAAACATTTACAAAAAATACTTTTAAAGAAATTATTTTATTAAAAATATTTTTTAAATTCAAGTTTAAAATTATTGTTTAAAATTACTGTTAAAATAAGTTTAAAATTAAGTTTATTCAAGTTAATTCAAGTTTAAAATTATTGTTAAAATAATAATCCAAGGATCTGAACTTAATATGAAACAATAATTTTTTTTTTGTATTATTTACCCTGGTCAAAGTTAGAAATAAAAAAAATTTAAATTACAACTATACAATTTCATTTGTATTTATATTGTCAAACATTTTTTGTAAACTTTGTAGTGAATTTTGTTTTTAGTTTTTGTACTCTTATAGTAAAAGAAAAAGTTTTCGTTGTTTTTACAATTTAGGATGAAAAATTAATATTTTACCATGTATGATTGTTTTGCATTTGTATTAGCTCACAACGCGTTTTAAAAATTGTACATTGATAAATTTCAAAATAAAAAAGAAATTTTTTTTATGATTTTAGTCTCGTAAATCTTATTCATAAATCATTAATTATTATTAATAAAGTAAATATTTGCTTTCCCAATTTAGGTTTCCTCCGTTGTTTTTTACAATTTAGGATGAAACATAAATATTTTACCATGTATGATTATTTTGCATTTGTATTAGTTCACAACGCGTTTTAAAAATTGTACATTGATGAATTTCAAAATAAAAAAGAAATTTTTTTTTTATGATTTTAGTCTCATAAATCTTATTCATAAATCATTAATTATTATTAATAAAGTAAATATTTGCTTTTCCAATTTAGGTTTCCCCCGTTGTTTTTTACAATTTACGATGAAACATAAATATTTTACCATGTATGATTATTTTGCATTTGTATTAGTTCACAACGCGTTTTAAAAATTGTACATTGGTGAATTTCAAAATAAATAAGAAATTTTTTTTTATGATTTTAGTCTCGTTAATCTTATTCATAAATTATTAATTATTATTAATAAAGTAAATATTTATTTTTTCGTAAATGTATACAATCCAGGATTTTATAGAAACTTTAGTCATTTAATGGAATGAAAAGTCACAAAAACATATTCATTATATACAAACCTAAAAACATTCTATTGACAAGAAAAAGTATATAATTCTCATGTTTCATAATTTGCCTGGAGAGCATTTTTCATTCTATAGATGCCTGTGTAAAATATTCTCCTATTTCATACTAAACCTAATAACCTCAAACATTCTATAAAATGCCAGTGTAAAGTATACTGTTATTTTCCTATTTCATACTTAACCCTAATAACGCCAAGCATTCTATTAAATGCCAGTGTAAGATATACTATTATTCTCCTATTTCATACTTAACCTAATAACACCAAGCATTCTATAAAATGCCAGTGTAAAGTATACTGTTATTTTCCTATTTCATACTTAACCCTAATAACGCCAAGCATTCTATTAAATGCCAGTGTAAGGTATACTATTATTCTCCTATTTCATACTTAACCTAATAACACCAAGCATTCTATAATATGAAATAAGAACTTTGAAGGAAAACTGTTAAACTTTTTAAAAAAAACACACAATGTTATATTTTTTACATAATTCGACACTATGATTAATGATTTTATAAATTAGGTTGATGATCAATGATTTTATATAATGAAAATTTTAAAATCAAAATCTTAAACTTTTAAATCTTTTTGAGGGAAAAAAATTCTTATCAGAGATAGACAATACCATAACTTGTTTATTTACCACACTATAAACATGTAATGTTTGACTCATCATGCTCAAGATTCAATCTTTCAATTATATTTTACATATTGATACTGTGCAATTAACTGGAAAATTAGCAAAAATATTCCTGCCTTAAAATTTATTGTTTTATTTCAAAAAGTAAAACATTTCATAGCGCAATTCGGAATACTGTAATATAATAATTGTTAAGTACAAAAAGTCGTAAAGTAACAAATCTTGTGACCAGAAAATAACTAATCACCAAAAATATGCAACTCTAATAAGCAAACTTTTAAAACCTTATTCCTAGAAATGATATGTAATTAAGTTTAATTTACACCAGTGGCTTAGCTAGCGGGAGTCAAATTCATTAAAAAATAGTTAAATATGAATTTCATGGTAAAATGCTTTTCTCTTTTAAATATCTTCAGGTTTATTTGCTAATTGCTGGCCTAATAGCTACCTCAAATTTTTATTTGAATTACCTAAAATTTGAAAAGAATGTCTATTAATATTGTATTTTTTTTTCTAACAAATTTGTGACATAAAGAATGAAAAATATCTTTTGAAAAACTTTTATCATTCAGTAAAAAAACAATAAACGCAACCAAAATATCTAAGTGCAATAGGAACTACGTTAGTATCAAGCATTGTATAATTTTAAACCAAACTGAATGAAAATTTATGAAATCTTTTAAAAATCACAATGTAAAGTTGCAATATCTTATTCAAAGTAATTTTTTTTAAAAAAATGCCATGTGTGGTTAGTTTAAGTTTTTAAATGATCTAAAACTTAAAACGGGAAATCTCTTTTTAAGTCTTTACACCTTATTGTAAACGACACAAAAACTGAATTTGTCCCCGGACCTCTGATTTGCTAAACCCCTGGCTAACTAACTCTCTGGCATAACAGTCCATGTTGGACCATGGCCTCACTAACAATTTTCCCTCCAAGTCGCCTGTCTCTAGCTCTTTGTTTCCAGTTTCGGACTTTTAGAGTCTTAAGGTCTTTCTCCACCTCGTCAAACCATCTTTTGACCGGCCTTCCTCTTTTCCTTTGGCCCTGGCACTGCCCCTTGAATATCTTCTTAGTGCCTCTGTTTTCCTCCATTCTCTCAAGGTGTCCTAGTCTTTGCTTTCACATTATTGATTATACTGATTTACTATCATGGTTTGGATATCATACGCTAATAAATATCTTAGCTATGCGTGTAAGATATTCCTCAAAAACTATATAACTTTCAAAGCTAAAATTCTCTTTCATATCAGACCACCTTGCCATGAAAATCTAACCTTAAAAGCTCTGAACCGCTTCTATTAAACTTGTTTTAAATTTCTTTCCATACGTCCCATGTTTACAAAATAAAAGGTTGTGTGAAACCTTGTTCGAAAATTTAAGTAAGATTAATAAAACTTTTGTAATTTTGTTTCAGTTTTCAAATTAGTTTCATCAATTAAATTTCAGCCTAGCATTAAATATTTTCAAAGTCCCGCAGTGGACTGATCGTTAAGACACGGTTCCCAGCAGATCACCGAAGTCAAGCATCACTGGCTACGGTCAGTGTGCGGGTGGGTGACCACTTGGATCAGCCCGCGTAGGGACCGAGGGTGTGCGTTATGGGTCCTCGTTAAACTATTCTATCGTAAAGTGCTCGACTTCGCGTGCAGGTCGTCTGGCAACCGAAGCGGGGGTGCCATCCCCTCTGCAGAGGATCAAAATTGTGATGGCATGTCTTCGGATCATCCTCAGGGATGTTTCCCAGACCGTCGCCAATAGCCCATTGTGCAGCTCTAGTGCGACGTAAATGAACAACAACAACAAATATTTTGAAAATCTTAAGTTTCATTATGAAAGCAATTTCATTTTCACGCTTAAATTCTATTTCGCTACTTAAGATATCTATCCTAGTTAGCTAAAATTCTTTAGACACCCCCCCCCTGCTAAAAATTAAATCCTGCATAGCTACTGGTAACATTCCAAATGTATCTTTTCCAAAGTTTATTTATAAAAGGAATGGTTTGAAGAAACTCTAAACACACGAGCATTTTTCCATTATATGTAGGCACATTTTGGTGATAATCAATTAAAATATGCAGATAATACAAAGTTTCATAACTTTAATATAAAATTATTTTTTAAAACATAGACGAAGGAAATTTTTTAAAATCCCACACAAATTCATATTAACAAAAACATTTGACATTGTGTTTTCAGCTTCAAAATGTATCATCGATTTCATCAGTTGAATAGTCGGAACAATAGAAACTAGATCAGCTTGTAGATTTCATGGCTGTCTTCTACGCAGTGAGCTAAAGTAGATGGCCCAGCATTGCACACACTATTGTTTACTTGATAGTAAATTATCTGTTGGTTTGCCATACCTGGTTTTGGTTGAGGTTTTGCCTTTGTCTCTGTAAGAAAACAATAATGAGATGTAATTAAATATGTTTTCGTTACGTATTCTGTTCCGCAACAACCATTCTTTATAAAGAGCATATGTTTATAGAATCTTAGTCAAGAATGAATTCATTAAAACTTAAGGATTTATGNACGAAGTCACTTAACATTTTAGAGAAAGCAGTAAAATCCCTCTTTGTTTGCTTTTCAAGCGAAAAACTCAGACAAAATTAACGGATTTTATCAGCAGCAATTAAACTTAAGAACGCATGTGGTAATGTATGTTTAAAATTACTTTTATAATAAATGCAACTGTAATTTAATACATAAATTTAGCTTTTTTTAGTTAAAAATGTATGTAGCATGTACTGGATAATGTTTTGCTCTATTCTTGCTTTCCATGCAGATTTCTTTTATGATTAAGATTTATAAAATAAGTAGTAGATACTAGTTTACAAGATAAAGGTGTATCAATTTCTATTTTAATTATGTCTAAACCTGTTTTGTGTTATTTAAGTATTTCCAACCTGTTTTGTGTTGTTTAAGTGTTTCAAAAGATGATTTTCTATTTAACGAATTTTTCTTTGTGATCCACTTTCCCTATTTCCCAAAATATTTCAGAACATTTTAAACTTGTTAACGCATTTTATGGGGGAAATGACCTTGATTTGAATTTCGAAGACACTTTTAGAGAAAGTAATAAAATCACTTTTTTTCTTCTTTTTTTTTGCATTTCAAACGAAAAACGACAAAAGTAACGGATTTTATCAAAAGCAGTTAAACTTTAGAACGCATGTGGTAATGTATGCTCAAAATTACTTTTATAATAAATGCAGAATAATTTTATGCATAAATTTAGCTTTTTTTTTTAGTTGAAAATGTATATAGCATGATAGTGTAATACAGGATAATGATTTGCTTCATTCTTGCTTTCCATGCAGATTTCTTTTATGGTTAAGATTTATAAAATAAATAGTAAATACAACTTTTCAAAGTAAAGGTGTATCAATTGCTATTTTAATTATATCTAGTGTTTATGAGTTTAAAACCTGTTTTGCGTCGTTTAAGTTTAGAAAAAGGTGATTTTTTATATAACGAATTTTCCATATAACGAACTTATTATCGGGATTTAGCGACTTCGTTAAATGGAGGTCCGACTGTATTTCTAAGAGCTCAACTAAGAAATTATACTTCATTAAAATACAGATCTCTGTGTGCTAAAATTTAAAAGAGTTGGATGTTAAATTTTTAAATAAAAAATATTGTAATAAAGATTTTGGAATTTAAAAATTTAGTTCGACAAAAAAAAATTATAAAACAATCTGCCCAAGTCTCTAAGTTTAGCTTCGATGTCTTTCCCTGAAATATTAATAAAAGAATATTCATAGAGAAAAAATATGATTTTTTTATGGAGATAAAATAGTTATGGAATATGGTTTTAAAAGAGTACAGAAACTAAAAAGTACATAAATATTATATATTAAAAGGAACGAAAGAGTACATAAATATTTACAGAAACGAAATATAATTGTAATATTTATTGGTAGGTTATCTATTGAAATTATTTACAGTTGTAAAATATTAAGGAAACATTATTTCCAGAAATGAGCATTAAATTGAATTATTTTTTCGAAGGGAAAATGTAATGATATTTTTTTTTACACAGTTGCAATGGAAATGAAACTTAGGAGAATACAATTCATAGAGAAGTATGAAGTTGAATGATGAAGATGAGCAAATTGTAGTTTCATTTAAATGTAAATTTAAATGTGAAATGTTTACTTTTTTTTTTGCAAAAATATTACTAATGGAGAAAAAATATAGAGTAATATTAGGAAAAGGAAATAGCTACACGATCATTTAAGGTTAACAGCCGACCGGCCTGTGTAGGAGTTAGGGAACTGCCCGTGCATCAGAAAGTTTATGGGTTCGAATCCCAGGCAAGGCATGGATGTTCTTTCCTTCTCTGAACTATCTGTCCTTACTGTGGGAGCAACGTTGGCCCACCTAATATGGCGCCCCTAAAAGAGTGGCCAACAAATCTGCCCTTCAGATGCCAAGGTGGGTCATTCTAAAAAGGGTGGGCATTGGAGAAAAAAAATCATTTAAGGTTAACTGATACTGTTTCTTTATCAATCGGAAATTTGGTATGTAATATTGGTTAAATTAATTATAAAATTTTATTTGAGACACATAGGAACTTTGTTAAGTTAGAGAAGGTTTCCGTGGCGTAGTCTGTCAGGATGTCACACTCAACACTAGCTGAGAGCTGGAGATCGAGAGTTCGATAATTACAGCCACCTAAACAACTGACATGTTTTCGCAACATGGTGAGTGTTAAATCTGTCGTGACTGCAAGTTTCTCCTCGTTAATGTGGAGTGGAAGTTTAGAGAGGGTAGTACTAGCTCAGGTGCTATCCACGTCGTCTGGCTGGAGTCAAAATTACTTGGTGTTTTAACATCATGGTTGTTAATAGACTAAGAACCATGGTAGAGTTGGACAAAATTGAGCTTAGTCATGGTGCGGTTGAGTGATATTGCTAGAGAGGAAGTGAAATTATGAAGATTTGATAAAATATGGGAGGCTCAAAATTTTTTATAGTGTGATGAGATTGAACAAACGTAAACATTTTTACCCAAAAATATAATTCATGATGGCAGTTTTAATCAATGCAACTTTTACCTTCTAGTAAGTCCCCAGTCTTGTAACGCTTTGATTCATCCTTTGTCAAAGAAATGTGAAGTGTTTTGTGATTTTTCATTGTGGCTACTGCAGTCATTACAGTCTGCCATTTCCTAACGGCTGGGTGGTACCTCAGGGCCCGCTTCTCCTCCCTCACATTCTGCCATCGTACACGTGATCCAACTTTCACTTTGGTGATAAAAACACCTGTTTTGCCTTTCTCCAAAAATATTTCCATTTTCACTTTATCAGACGTATTATCTATAAAAAAAAAAAAAAGAATACATCAATAAAAGCAACCACAGGCTTAGAAAAAATAAAATCATATTTCAACACATAATTGACAGGTTTGGTGTAAGAAGAAAGTAAATCCAACTTATTATGCATTTTCGAATATGAACAATATAGTTCTTTTAAATAGTGCAACAACTGAACATAGTTCTCTTCCATGTGGTATCTAATTCTGTGGAATCTGTGAGAAAAATCTATATAGTTCACTTTTGTGTGGTTCAGTGAAAAACTACATAAACTATTATCATTTATTTTTTTCAAAAATTTCATTCGACTCTTTTCTACAATTTGTGAAACTATACTTTTTTTTTTTGCTCTTGCACTAAGCGCTGTACATTACTGTTTCTGAAGTGTTTCACATATACTGAGGGTACTAAGTGCTTTGAAACTTGCACCAAGTGCTCTTCTAAGCTTAGAGGAAAAATAATAAAAGCATATTTCAACACTAATAGTTGAGAGGTTTGATGCAAGAAGAAAGTGAATTCAACTTTTTTTTTCCTTGTTTGAAAATGAACAAAATAGCTCTTTTAAATAGTGCAAAAACTGGAAACGATTCTCTTCTGTGTGTTAAATAGAGTATCTAATTATGTGAAATCTGTGTGATTCTCTATCGTGTGGTACAGTGAAAAACTACATAAATCTTTTTTTTCCGATTCTTTTCAACAATTTGTAAATCTGTACAATCTATACTTTTTTTCTTGCACCAAGTGCTTACATTACAATTTCTGAAATCTTTGCCATCTACTGAGGGTATTAAGTGCCTTGAAACTTGCACTAAGTGTTCTGTGCAGGCTTCCAATGATCATATTCTTGTATGTTAGTAGCTCTCCTGGCAAGACCTTATCAGTAATTCACTGTTAGTCTTAAATTTCAAGAGTGTACAGAGTCTTGGAGCTGATTTAGGAAGTGATTTTGAGGATGATCAAAATTAAAATTAAAATCTAAATTTTTTTCAAATTATGCATGTTTTAAAACAGCATGTATAACAATTTAGTAGGCATCAGTTGAAAAGCCTAATTTTTAAACAAAAACAATAACCTGACGTTTATCTTTTAAAATATCTTTTCTAAAGCAATATTTATTTATGAACTCAAATATTATAAACAATACGAACCTTTGTAATAATTTCAACCTTGTGACTTAGAACAAGTTGCTTCAGTTTTAATTTATTTGTTTTAATTTTAGCCGAATTTTCTAAATTTTAAACAAGTTACTTTGATTTACACTTAATTTTATGGTGTATTTTTACGATATAGCCAAGACATGGCTTCAGCGCATAAAATTCAAATCAATCAATAATGAATAGGAATAAAAAATGAAACAAAATTAACTAAACTAAACTCAGCGGCGCGACAGCCCATAGAGGGCCAAGGCCTACTGTGCCCATCTCAGTTTTCTTGACCTTTGGGCTCTGCGGTGCAGGAGCAGATGTTCCGAAGAAAATTATTATTTAGAAAAAATTGCTTTTTATCTTTTATAATTCCATCAGGAAAGTTATTGCACATAACATACTTTCGAATTAAAACTTATTCGAATTCAAAGTTTCATAATTCATACTTGCTGCTTGCTTTCTGGGTGGAAGCAGGCAAATCTCCTATTAACATATACTTTGATGTTACGTTTTCCAGGTGTTTTTGACAATACTTGGTTCTTGGATTCTAGCAGATCCTGGCAAAACTTACATTTAGAGCTAGTACAGGCTTTCAAAAAAATTCTCTTGTCCAAATATACCACCCGATTAGTGTAAACTTGTACGATTTCAAACAATTGCTGAAGTTATTATTGCATTAATTATGGTTGCTAAAATTATTATGGCCGTAAAAATTGTATATCAAGAAAAGCATAATTAATTTTTAGGTCACCTTTTTAACTTTGTTTATCATTTTAACTCGCGTAGAAACGTTTCAATTTTGTTCCTTTTTTTTCATTTCGTGAACAAACTCAATTTTGTCATTTAAAAAATATTTTAGAGCAAATTTAGCATTTGAAAAATTCCCTGTTCGAGTTAAGATAAGAGGCTTTAATTCTCTCCCTCAGTTTATTTGTGAAAAACTATTAAAATGGTTGAACACAAATACTTCATAGTATTTGCATATTAGTCGAATCGATTCGATTTAAACTATAAAAATATTTTAAACTAATAAGGGTATTTCAGTTAGTGTACTCAAAGTAGACATTTCTTCTTAAAATGAAAATTCATTATAATATATATATACAAAATGCGTTGCATTATTAAATGTGTTGGAAGATTATTTTAGCGAATAGTACTCGCATACATTATACGCATACATACATTATAATAGTACATTATACGGGGAAATTACAGGAGAGTGGCTACTTTTTCAAAAATTGAAAATTTTAAGCAATTAAGAGAACTGTTGATATTGAAAATGTAAGGCATTTCTTTTGAAAATTTCTCAAAATACTGCAGACATTACAAGGTTCATTTTTAAATTAAAGAAAAAAAATTTAATATTCAGAATATTTATAATAATTCTATATTTATTAAAAAATAATAATTATAGAATAAAATTCACATGTGATGCATTTTTGATGAATAAAATGGGTGGCGAATGGCTGAAAATTTTTAATCCTCATTTGTAAATTTAGCCACCGTGGTGGGGACCGTAGATTTTGCCCTAAACGATACATGAAAACATTGAAATAGTACATACCAATAGACTTCATCACTTTAGGCTTCTTCTTCTCTTTTGGCAAGTCAATTGTAAGTTTTTTCTTGCTTTGAACTTGTTTGATTGAAGTTTTGATTCCTGAATTCATTCGTGATGGACCAACAGTGTGCTTCCTGCTCTCTTGGACCTTATATTTGCCTGCACTCATTTTGATTTTTCGCTGAACCTGGTTTGACACACCTCTGAAATTGTCCCTATAGGAATCTTCTTGAGTGTATTGATAATTAAGTCTTCCTGCTGCTGGAATATTAGCAGTCTGAACAAGAATTCGATCGAAATTCATCCCCAAGTATCGACGATCCATCCTTCTGGTTATTTACTTATTAGTCGTTATCTTCAACTTGAAAGAAAAAATAAATAAATACATTAAACATAAAAAGCTTCAACAAGTCTTATTATCTTTTTATCTAAATTCTTAATTCTTTATTCAAAACGAAACTCGTTCTTAAATTTATTAGGACTTCAGTATAACGATCAATGCGCCATTCTTTTACATTAACATATTTAAAAAAATATGTCAACTGTTTTTCATATTTTACGTTTTTAAAATTTGTGAAGTGTTTATAAAAACATTCCATTTTGATTGAAAAAAATTTTTGAACTTAAATTCTTTTAATTGAAAATAAGGAAGGCCCACTAACATTTGCTATAGCATGGCTAAAATTATGCGCATGGATTTCATAAAAAAATTATAAAATCCATTGCTAAAATTATGTGCAAAACAGGCAATTCATGTTTCTTTCTCTCTTCTTAGTTATTTTACAATATTTTCTTTTTTCTTAAGTAAAAGTAAATTTCCTAAAATTATTAATTGTCAACTTCTTTGAATTATCCAGTATAATATTACCTTTCGCACATCCATTTTCGGGCCCATCCTTGGTAACGAACAAATCAAACGCACTTCAGTACTGCAGTACGAACGCGCTATAGAACATAACTCCTCTATTTACGTTTTAACCTCAATTTGTGCTTCTGTTTTCATACTTTGTAATCTGGCAATCTTGTTACTAAAATATTTTAAATCATTCTTGAAAAGTTTCCCGTTCATGTAAGTTCATTTGATTTCGATACTTGTTTTATAGATTTTCTTTCATGTTTTATTCTGTTTTTTTTTTTAGTGTTCCTCACACTATTGTATTGATATATTTTGCATTGGCTATATTGATACAATGTTAGAAAGCACTCCTTTTTGCGGATATAATCGTGTGAGCTGATGAAAAGATTATATCTTTTATTTTCTGTATTTTTATTTTCCCTTTTTCATTCTTCTGTAATATATATATATAGATATAGATATACGTTGTGTATAAAGATAATAGCAAATTATACACAAAGTTTTGCTACATACATTTTCATGTATTACTTATCCTATTTCTCAATGGTTGCTTTGAATATTGAACAATATTTGAAATTAGTTATTTGTAGTAAATAAAAAAAACTTTTAACTCAATAATATGCTTTAAAATTTAAAAGTAAACATTCTTTTAACGACGTGCAATAAAATAAATTGGCAAAAGCATTTTCAGAAATTTTAAACCAATATGTAAATTTTGTTTTTAAAAAAAATTATAGTTGATTAATGTGCTTTCAAATGCAAAATAAACAATGTTAACGTAATCCACTAGTAAATTAATCAAATTGAAAAATCATGAGGGAAAATGAAAAAAAAAACCTCTTTTCAAATAGGTCAACAATAACAAATACATCTGAATGGAAAAATCAAATTATATGCACAGTTTTGGTAAACTATATTAATTTAATAGTTTACTTTAAAAAATAAAGGCACACAACCTTAGAATAACCGCGTGCAAAATGAATTAAATAAACAGTTAACGTGGAAAATGTTGAGAAATATTTTTCACTCAATTTGACCTAAATTAATGCAGAATAATGAAAAAAATATGAAAAAGATGTTTAATGAAAATTCTGCATTAAAGGGTTAAAACCTATACAGAAATAGTTAAATGCCTTAAGATATGTTATAAACAATAGAGGTGTTTTCAGTTTGAAAGTATTTTTAAAGAATATAAAAAGCACTTATAAATTCTTTAATAATATTATGTTTATTAAATTTATTTCTGTTGTTATTTTAATTTTTAGCAAAGACTACATTTTACAATTTCGTGTAAATAATTCAAACTAAAAATATTGAAAATTTAATTTGAATATATATTTCAAATGTCAACGCATCTTTAAATATCCATATGTATCATAATTTCAATAAAAAACTAAACTTTCTAATATAACGACGACAGAGAGTTGAGAAGGGAAAATTCCCACAGTCTAACTTCGATTAATTTTTTACAGTTTAAAAACTTATTCCGCTATCTTTTGCTTGCAATAATGCATAAAGACAGCTCTCAACTTATGATGCTTAACATCTGATTATATTCAATAATTGTTATACTTTTTTTATTAAAATGTTAAATGTTTTATTTATTAGTCTTTTTTTTTTTCGCCTTGGCCCTACACATTACTAATATATAGTACATAAAGGCCTTAAGGAAAGGTAGTTTAAAAAAAAACACAAAAATAAAAATGGAATATCTAAAATAACTTCTAAAATGAAGAATAATATATGTAAAAGCCCTAATGGCAGATAGTTAAAAAAACTGCCAAAATAAAAAGGTTAAAAATTAAAGTTAAAAATAAAAATAAATTAAAATTGCGATTGAATGTGGTTAATATGTTTTAAACCTATTATTTTAATTTTAAAAAGTCTTAACGGTAGATAATCAAATGTAAGTCACATGTTTTTTCCCCACCTTCATTACTTAGAGCCATTATCTTCCAGGAATTAATAAAAAGGAGAAATTTTGCTGCTATTTTTTATGATATCTAAAAACTTTGAAAATTCTGATTAAAATTTTTTTTCCACATTTCCTTAAACAGGATTTTCAAAAGCTATTGACAAGACCAGATATCTAAAAAAATAAGCATCGAATCTCAAAAAATACACATCAGATCAAATATCTCAAAAAAATATGAATTGCATCTAATATCTCAAAAAAATAATTTTTGAATCAAATACCTTAAAAATACACATAGGATCTAACATCTCAACTAATACTCATAAGACCAAATATTTCAAATACGCATCGGATCAAATAACTCAAAAAATACGCATTGGACCAAATGTCTCAAAAAATTAAGCATCAGATAATATATCTAAAAAAATACACATAGGACCAAATATCTCAAAAAATACGTAATCGGATCAAATATAACAATACGCATTGAATTAAATGTCTCAAAAAATAAGTATATAAATTATTTTCACTCTTAACATTCAGTAATACAAAAAGAATGTATTACAAATACTCAATATAAGCTTAAATATAATAATAAAATAAATTAATTTTACAATTACCTTTCAAAAAATTTTCGATTCCCTTAAAAAGTTCTCAAAATTCGATGAAATTAGCAAAAAGCAAAATTAACATGAAGATCTCCTAACTTCCGACCGATTTCTAATCTAATTATTGGAACCAGGTTTCCCAGATTGCGGCTGACCCCTATATTTTGAGGAATTATTTTCTCGTTTTGTCCCTTGTGTACATCCCTAGTGTCCTAGTTATTCCATCACTGTAATATATTAACTCCCTGAATTATCACAAAATAAAATCTTTTTCATAAAAATTTTAATGACTTACAACTAACAACCTAAAAGAACATTGCCCTATAGTTACACCTTTAAATCTCTGCAGCTTGTCTCTGATATTTTCTGAAAAGCATACATTCAGGTAAAAGAATTTTGCATTAATCATTCCTTTTTTAAGTAAAATAAAATAAAATAGTACCTAAAAATGGAATAATTATAATTTGTTTCCATGTCTAATTATAATTGTACGTGACTGAAATCAAAAATCAATTAATACCTATTGTTAATTTATTAATTACTGTTTTAGTAATTAATTAATTACTATTTTCTATTAAATCATAACTGTTTCTTCTTTAATTAAAATTAACATAAAATGAGAGATTGATGTTGAAATGTGGCGCCAGGGAACGATTTATAGATCATTAACTATTTTTTAAAAACAGTCTTTACTGCTCAAAATTTTTTTTCTGATCTTACCTATAATTAGAAATTATTAAAGGAGCATTGCATCGAGAAGGGAAGCCTGGAAAATTCTAGTGAAGAAGGCTTCGACCCTTACTGGGCTGTCAAGCCAGGAATGATAGTTAGAAAATGCAATAATATAAGAAATTAAAAATCATTAAAAAAAAATTTCGTAAATGAACTTTACTTAAAATTCCAGTTTCCTCAAGAATAACCAAAATATCAAAGTTATTAATATAATCATTTTAATATAACAAAAATATCAATAAATCAATTTATTAGTTGAGCTGTAAAACATAATGTTATTTGTAAAAATATGTGTAATGTTTCTAAAGAGGTAACTAAAAAGATAATGATTTTACTTATTTATTCAATATTCTATTTTCATTTACCTATTCTTAATAAAATTGATAAATGATTTTCTCACATCCCAAACAACCCAGACGTCTAACTACTTCCGACAATTGCTTGTCCACAATGTTTGTTTTGTAATGAAAACGATGTTATCAGTGCCGTACTAAGCGTGCGCGGGGCCCTAGGCCATTCATATTTTTAGGGCCCTTAGTTTAATTTTTTTCCCATATTTTTTATTTACATTATAATACTTATAAATAATAACTAAAATAAGTAATAAATAAATATGATTAACATTATGTAAAAAAATTATTGTATTTTAATAATATATATTTGAAAAAAAAATTTCAAAATCATTGTTTTTCTTAATTTTTTTTAATTTATTTTCAAGAAATATATTGTAAGGGGGCCCCTAATTATTGGGGGGCCCTCACCATGGCCTAATGGGAAATCCAGCACTGGATGTTATACAAAATTATTATATTTTATACCTATTTTTATTGTTTTCTACTTAGGGAAAATATATTTAAATTTTGGGGCTCGGCTTTAAGAGGTATGAGCACCTCTACTTCATAAAAGCTTTTGGGTTTAGTGCCTCAATAAATAAAAAAACTATGGCTTAAGATTAAAAAAAGAAGAGAAAAAAAAGTCACATGAATACATTAATCCTAGATGAGATATAACATGCCCCGCCCGAATATTCTCGAGTCAATATTATGGACGAAGTATCTCGTTTTCAAAAAATCACTCAAATAAAATGCATCAAGCATTTAAATTAAGTTAAAAGTATTTTTAAAAAATAAATTTTTACAAGATTCTTTTTTAATTTTCAAATAAAGAAAAGTTACAAAGGAGAGCTATAGGGAAAAAAGGGTTAACGGTTTTAATTTTTAGTAGTTTCGAACAAAGGACTAAACAAAAAGAATTAACGTCAACAATATCACACTGATATGACAATTATTTTTTTTTTTACATACCTTCAAAAAAAGATTATTTCCAAAAAATCTTAGGTACACTGAATCTTTTTTTCGGCGACAATCACATAAACTATTTTTATTCAACTGCCTGTTGATACGAGCTTCAAGATAAAACCCGCCTTTTCGAACATCTGCGTTACGGTTTGATTTGAATTTGCATGACGTAATGGATCATCATCTTGGAAAAAAAATGAATAAAAATAAATAAATAAAAAAAAAATGTTGGAGGATGTTTATCAAGATAAATATATTTGATAGAACAAACACTAAATTGTTGCTTTTTGCTCTAAGGGCTGAGCGTAAATGATGTCTCTTTTTTTTTTTTTTNTTTTTTTTAAATGTTCTTGGCTCGCCCCCCACCCCTCCAAACCCCGGCCCCCCACTTTCACGTCACTCTAATTACATAAATGCTTGCAGTTCAAAAATAAAGTCATTTGCAATAGCGACATATTTCAAATTTCTTTCATAAGTTTTAATTTCGTGCTTTAATGACACTTGTAAGCAAAAAGATTTCCTTTTTAATGTTAGGCCTTTAAACTAGAATCTAAAAAATTTAAACTTTAATCAGTATCAATGCTTTTCGGTACAAAATAAAATAAATGAGACTGCAAAACAAAATCATTCGAAGAAAGCAGCATTTTTATTTTTTTTTTTTTTTAATAAGCGTAAGAGGAAAAACAAATAAATAATACAAAAATAATTAATCTGCTGACTTTAAATGTTTTTATTTTATTTTAAACCAAAATATGAGATGTCACACTTCTGTGAATCCCCCCCCCTCAGTCACAACTAATCATAATTTAATGCCAAAAACTGATAATTGGATACTTGCAACTCAAGAAGAAGTAAAGTAAATCTAACCATGTGATTTAAATCAGATTTAATTGGATACCTCGATGTGACGTCACGCGTGTGTGTCGAACCTGATTGGCTTTTGAATCGATGATTGAACAATGATGAAGTTACTTGCAAGTAACAAATTGAAAATTGTATTATTTTTTTTTATTAAATAAAACATCAATATACATTTTTGTTTACTAACTATTCGACGACAGTAGGGCAATATTTAGAAGCTATTTCAGTCACAACTAATCATAATTTAATGCCAAAAACTGATAATTGGATACTTGCAACTCAAGAAGATGTAAAATAAGCCTAACCATGTGATTTAAATCAGATTTAATTGGATACCTCGATGTGACGTCACGCGAGTGTGTCGAACCTGATTGGCTTTTGAATCGATGATTTATCTATGATGAAGTCTCTTGCAAGTAACAAATTGAAAATTTTATTATTTTTTTTACTAAATAAAACATTAATATATATTTTTGTTTACTAACTATTCGACGACAGTAGGGCAATATTTAGAATCTATTTCAGTCACAACTAATCATAATTTAATGCCAAAAACTGATAATTGCATACTTGCAACTCAAGAAGATGTAAAGTAAATCTAACCATGTGATTTAAACATATATGGCAGTACTTTTACTTTCGTTACTTGTACCGCCGGTACAAGTAAAAAGTACGTACTTTTACTTGTACTTCGTTACTTTTTAAATTTAGTACTTTTACTTGTTCTTTCGTTGCTTTTTTAGGGGAAAAGTACAAGTATTTGTAACGGAAATGACGAATGAAATCGTTACTTTTTCCTAAAACTCGGTAAGCTTTCTAAAAAAAAAATTTTAAAAAAATTTTAAAAAATGCTTATGTTTCTTTAATTTATAAAATTAATGTGCAATATATATGCATTCACAGGTAACTTCGTGTTTAAATACCTTGACCTTTTAAAATTGTCATTCCTGAAAGGGAAAAGACGACTCTTTTGAAGAAGAGCTACCTAGTAACATTATTAAAACAACAGTTTGTAAACCTTTAAACAGAGCTCTTTTAGATGGCGTGCGCGAAAGGTTTCGCGATGTGAAATCGCAGGACCTTTATTGCACGATTTATTGTTTGCTGCAGGTATGGTAGCTTGAATCAAATTTAATTGGTTGGAAGAAAAAGCTAGGGAGGAGGCTACAAAAAAAATTGGAAAGAATTGTCCAAGCTGAACACCCTGCTATAACTAATAACGTAACAGAAAAAAAACAAGGGATTTTAAATTTTCTAAAGCTGAAAACATTATGCCAATCACCAGCGACAGAAGAATTTATGGCATACATGAGCTCAAATGTCGAAACCGAAAGTATATCAATTTTGAATCGATATCGAATCGTAAAAAAATTATATGTGAAATATAATACTGGAGTTCCTTCTAGTGCTCCCGTGGAGCGCTTATTCAGTGTGGCTAAGCACGTTCTAAGAAATTCTAGCAGCAGACTCAGTGACACCACTTTCGAAATGCAATTATTTTGCAAATTGAATAAAAATATTAATTAGCAAGTTATTTTCATTCATTTTCGAGTTTTATGCATTTATTTAATACATTTTAAATAAAAAATGTTGGATTTTGTTATTACGTTTTTCAATTTTCTTTTTGAACTCACTAATAATACATTTTTGTCTTAATACATTTTTTACTAAATACATTTTTACCTAGTACATTTTTTACTAAAATTATGTTTATGCCCGACCTTGTCAAACAACGCCCAGTCAAATCTCTAAGAACTTCAGAACTATTTGTGCTATTGAAAACTATTATAATTACTATTTTAACTCTTGAAAACTCGAAGGTATTAATTTAGCCGCTGATACTAAAATTCGTTTACAAATTTTAATTATTCCGTTAGGCAGAAATGTTCGGAAAATGATTTTCTCGCATGACTTCAGCATTAGCCATTGTTACAAATAAAACTGTAGACTGTTCTGTTTCAACTTATACTGCACATTCAATTATTTTTTACTAGCTCAAAGATCACAAAGCTATCTGAAACCCCGTGTTTGCTTTGTTTATGTTTGTGCTTTTAAAACGCGTTTCTATAGAGTAAAACAATTTTAAATCAATGGTAATTTAAATAAATAAAAATAATAAACTAAAAATTAAAATCAATAGATAAAATTTCTTTTTCGTGCAAATCCATAAAAAGTTTGATATTAAAATTATATTTGATTTTAAAATTATATTATACGATTATATTATAAAATTATATTATAATATTCTTCCGAATTTAAAAATAAATTAATGTCCATAACTTTCAAAATTAAAAATAATTAAATAAATAACAACAATTTTGCAAAAACATTAAAGAACATAAGAATATTATTCAATAAAATTTTAGGTTACTTTGAATTTTCGATTTCCTAGAAATGTACTTTTAAATCGTTACTTTTTTTGTTTAGTACTTGTACTTTTACTTGTACTTTTTACTCGTTACTTTTTAAAATAAGAACTTTTTACTTTTTACTCGTTACTTTTTTTAAAAATACTTGTACTTTTACTCGTTACTTTTTAAAAGTAACGTTGCCGTATATGGATTTAAATCAGATTTAATTGGATACCTCAATGTGACGTCACGCGAGTGAGTCGAACCTGATTGGCTTTTGAATCGACGATTTATCTATGATGAAGTCACTTGCAAGTAACAAATTGAAAATTTTATTATTTTTTTTACTAAATAAAACATTAATATATATTTTTGTTTGCTAACTATTCGACGACAGTAGGGCAATATTTGGAAGCTATTTTTGACAATTTTCTTGCACAATTTAATTTGAAACGTCTTATATTTTTCAACTGGAAATATACTAAATAGGAATTTTGCATGTATCCTTGAAATAAAAATTATTTCATTTTGTCTTGGTATAGTCAAAATGATGCTGGCCTAATTTACCTACGATGACGCCACTTGCAGGCATCTAATCCTAAAGCTTCACTGCGTGAGAAATTAGCTTTTTAAAACCCATAAAGAAAACAGAGAAATAAATGTTTCCAATAATTTTATTTTCAATTATTTTATTGCAATTATAAATAAACGTAAACGGACTATTTGGGTGGCCAAGAAAAAAATAGATTAAAAAGTTATCCTTGATTATTCAGTGGAGTAGTCCGATGAATCTGGTTCGCCATAGTCGTCTTCAATGCAACGAGTTGAAGTAGAAGGACCAGCATTGTAAAAATTGTTTACTTGAATGTAATTGTTTACCTGACTGCATGTGATGCCTTGTTTAGATTGAGATTTTGGCTTACTTACTCCTAAAAGAAAAAAGAAAAACAAAGAAAAAGAAACTTAATCAAAATATAAGACGTATTTTTCCATTTTAATTGTGTATTTACATAATATATAAATTAAATAACAATAAAACTATTCAATTTTGAGGTTTTCCTACTAAAGTTTTTTGATTATTTTAAACTTTCAATGGATGAATTATTCTGTGTAGAATCTGATTCAAATGGCACTAAACAGCAAGTTATAAATATAGAAAGCAGCAGTTTCATATATTTATAAATTTTCTTATTTACATTTTTTTTTATTGGGTATGCTTTTTTTTAGCTGTTTCAATAGCATTTAAAGCGCTTCAAACGCACTGTTATAAATTAACTGAAATTCCTCATTAATATAATTTTCAAGAATGTTACAGAATCTTCTTTTTGACTGCATATGCAACTTATTAGCTTGTTTATTGTAAAATGTGTTGAATGTATTGTGAATTATTTAAAACTGAAACTAAGTTAATGTTGTTTTGTATCATATAGTTATCTTAAAAGAGTTTAATGAAAATAATGCATTTAAAAAAGTAAAGTAATGCTGTATGATTTATATTTCTATTGCTTTATCCCAATACGAATGATATTAACTATTAAAAGGTAGTCCTTTTATGCTAAGAAAAAAAAGGAAAGGGAAAAATGAGGAAAAAAACCCAAATAAAAATGTTAAATACATTAACTTATAGCAAAATTTGTTTAAATGATAACTTTTTATACTTAAAATGTGATTTCTCAAAACTTTTCAATAACCTTTCTTTTTTTAAACTTAAATGTACAAACTCGAAGGGNAAAAAAAAAAAAAAAAAAAAAAAAAAAAAAAAAAAAAAAAAGAAAACGATATTACCTTCTCATTTTACTGAAACGCAATCATTATTCCATTTTAGTAAAAAGTCTGATTAAAAATAAAATACTCTAATATTTTAATAAACTAGCCTTGTTATTAAAAATATCATTTTGTGACAAACCAACAAATTAACTTTTATAAATTAATAATTACATTTCTTATCATTTAAACTTTCGTACAACGTGTAAAAAATTAATTAAGAGTACTTTCTTTGTTAGTTTAATCAAAAAGTAGTTTCATATAAAAATCATAACGTAATATAAATCAAGAAGATTGTTATTTATATACAGGGTTACGAATCAATTTGAAAACTGAATAGATACTCTTCCATTTAAAAAATATTAACTTTTGCACATAATAATATTAGATTATGTAATAAGTTAAGTTTAATCAATGTGCAAAGGTTGCAATTTATCGGTTAATATTAATAATCGCCGGTTATTATTAATAATAAGTCTGTTATAAATGTAAATAAGGCTGTGGAACAAATTTTCGTTGCAGTCAGAAAAATAATTGATCTAGTCTAATTTGAATGTGGGGCTTTCAAATCTGAAATTAGTTTTGCTTCTAAGCCTAAAATTTTTTTAAATGACATTTGTCTATTTTTTTGCCGAAATGTACAAATTTAAAAAAGTTATATATAACAGGAAATTGTGTAACGGTCGCGACAAACTTAAAGTTAGGGCACACCATCAGTATTTAAAATTGCGTAGGAATTCATTCCCGGAAATGTCGTCATGCGTGGGCTATTATAACTGCCCTATTATGAAAAGCACACGAAGGAACAGATCCTAATAGAGGAAGCGCCTCTTGAGGCGTATGATGACATTCTCGGGCATGGTTTCCTATGAATTTTTAATCCTGATAATGTGCTCTGACATCCCTAGAAGTTTGTCGCAACATTTATTCTGGTTGGTTGGTTCTAATGCCACTTACCACACGGGAAAGCCTGCTCGGTGAAACCGAGCAAATTTAAGGCAGAGTGTGTGATTCTTGTTTTTCAGTGGAGCCATCAATGGCCAAGAATTCGACTTTGCCACACCTGTTTATAAGAGGGACCCATTCATACATCCATCCATTCATCCACAGATCGTAATTTTGACCTGAATCAGAGAACGATCGATCTTCAATCCAGTACCCCCAGAGGTTTTGATTTGTTGTGGGAACATGGAGGACTTTTGCGACTCGACAGAATTTTAACGTGCTTCAGTCACCAACTACAAGGGGAGATTTCAGCTGGCGGGGTTCGAACCCACGAACGTTCGTACATGGGCCCAGCGCCCTACCGACCAGGCTATCCCTGCAACATTTATTCTACCCTCTGCCATACACTGGTGTTTAAAATAAAGAGGATTTTTATACTTGGTTGATTATCTCCAAATCTTCTGAACAGATTTTAATAAAATTTCGTTTGAGCAAAAGTCTATCTAATACAAAAATAATAATCATTCAATGGTTATAATACACAGGTATGATCATGCGTAACACTCATCCGAGTCGTGTAGCATTAAAGAGTGGTTACAGAATTAAATTTTTAAAAAATGGCTCTCCCTCGCACAGATATACAGGCCTGAATTTCTAACTGGAAATGAAGCAATTTATGGGCAATCAGCAACACTGTTTTCAGACANGAAAACAGCAACGCTCTTTTCTGCCTTCTGATCGTGACGTCACAAACAAGCTCCCAGGCCTTCTACTCTAGGTGGTTGTGGCCCAGTGCCCTACCGACCAGGCTATCCCTGCAACATTTATTCTACCCTCTGCCATACACTGGTGTTTAAAATAAAGAGGATTTTTATACTTGGTTGATTATCTCCAGATCTTCTGAACAGATTTTAATAAAATTTCGTTTGAGCAAAAGTCTATATAATACAAAAATAATAATCATTCAATGGTTATAATACACAGGTATGATCATGCGTAACACTCATCCGAGTCGTGTAGCATTAAAGAGTGGTTACAGAATTAAATTTTTAAAAAATGGCTCTCCCTCGCACAGATATACAGGCCTGAATTTCTAACTGGAAATGAAGCAATTTATGGGCAATCAGCAACACTGTTTTCAGACACTGGATGGTTGTCGGAGGGGTTACGTAATGCAATAGCCCTCCGCAAAGCGTCCCAGACATGCTTTATAGGGTTGAGTCTGAAGATCTGGCTCTCCAATAGTCAACCATTGGTGCTCTGTGTGGTGTCGCATTGTCATCCATTAAAATGAAATCAGGAACCTCTGCACCCCTGAAAAGGGGAACGTATACCTCCACACCACTCACATCTCATGCAACAACAAAAAATTGTTCTTCTATGTAATCGATCATAATTTATCACATTTAGTGGTTATTATTAACGCATTCAACGTATTTTTTATTGTTGTTATTATTGTTAACGTTGTTTTTCGAAGCTCTGTCACCAAGGAAAATAAAAAATCCACAATTTAAATGCCCAACACTTCAATGCGATGATTTTAAGCTATCATCTCGCCGTAAAGAATTATCTGGGCTTTAGAACGGACAAATAACTTAAATATTTAAAAAGTTATTAAACTTTTTAAAGAAAAAATCGCCAATTTGGCGACATTTTCCCAAGTAGATGAAAAATATCAAAATTACTGCTTTATTCTTAGTCTTTGCAAATTTTATGAGTCCAAGTAATGCAGCATAGGAGTAAGTTTATAAATATTAAAAATTATACAACAAACGATTTTCATTTTCATAAAACGGGGGCTTTTCTCCATATTGACGTAATGCGCCATTTTCAAAATTAGTTTAGACAACGCTGGCTTTCGATAGACTAAACTTGTAACTGTTGCAAACTCACAGCAGTTATAAAAATAGCGTTTTGTTCGCAAAAAAAGAGTCATTTCATGTGATGACGGAGCCTTCGAAAAACAACCTAAAGCGCAACTATGTACAGAATATATTTTACTAATGGCACATTAAAAGACAATTGAACATCAAAAAGATAACAATAAATCTATAAATAAGAACGAGCAATCCATTAGCGTTCCCAGATAGATTTCCGCAGGGCACCTAGACAGGTGAGATAAGTCCATTACCTCGTGGAGGTCACACAATGTACAAAAGGGATCATGAACCACATTGATGCGTCATAGATATTTTTTCAGGCAATAGTGGCAAGTTATCAGACGAAACATGGCGACAGATTTCATCCTAGGCCACTGAGGGAAATTGAGCATCTGTTTAAACCAGGGTTTATTGAAATTACGATTTTTGACTTCTTCGTAGGCTCTGATGATGTTCTTTATGAGACTTTTGATATTATAGAAAAGGAGTTTGGAATTAGATCTCTGTAGGACAGAGGCCCTATTTTTTTGCAAGGAGATCGGCAGCCTCGTTTCCCTGGATTCCACAGTGGGCCGGAATCCACTGAAGAGCCACTATCTTGTTATTGCGGGCAAACCATTTGAGGAGATTTGAGCAATTATCGATGGTTAAAGTTTGAGAGCGGCTGGGAGCATTAATTGCGTGAGGTGCAGCCTTTGAATCAGATAATATTACAACTTTTTAAAAGGAGTCTAAACGCTGCCGAAATTGTGACAGAGCTTGGTAAACGGCCGCAATCTCGCCATCGAAATGCCGATGGGAGTATACAGGCAGAAAAGTTCACAGTAAACACTAGCACCAGTGTTAACACAACCACTCATTTTAGAACCGTCAGTATATATTCTCAACCAATCTTCATTGGGGTAGAAGGATTCTATTGTTTCGAAAGTGAGAGCTCTTAAAACTATGAAACTAGTCTCCGCCTTTGAGATATCCTTGATCAGATCAAGGCGGATAGGAAATTCCCTGTCAACAATGGGGTTGATGGGAGGTAAGAAATGCTCAATCTCAAAACTCAAATCTAACTTAGATATAATATCAGTAACTCCCTGCAGAGATCCTTTTTGTGTTTTCAAGCTTCTATCACGAACTGGAGAATTTTTACTAAAGTAAATGCCTCGAAATCATTCCATGTTAGGCTGTTTTAAGTGTTTTACAATTTATTTAAATCTGCATTTGTGCAACGAACTTTTGAAACTCAAGATTTCAGAAATTATCATTCATCAATAAGTGTGATAGATATATAAGAAAAGACAAAATGAACTTTTAAAGCTATTATTTTAAATTAAAATATAAGTAAAATCCCATATTCACGTAATTCTTTTTTTTTCTTTTAATCTCTACAACGACATATTCACACCTATTGAATCGCAGTTCATGGACATATTAAAATTAGAGTTGAAGTTTCAATAAATTATGCCTAATTAATCACACTGACAAAACTTCATTGGCAATTATTAAAAATAACCGATTAATGGTAAGTGTGCATTTATTTATCACATGTACCAGAAAAAGTGGTTCTTATTAATAATCGCTTGTGATTATTAATAGTTATATTTATTACTTTAATCGTAACAAATACTAGTTAGTATAAATATAATCGTTTTACCTTCCAGTAAAACTCCTGCTTTATAACGTTCTGCTTCCTCTTTAGTCAAAGAAATGTGTAGCGTTTTGTAATTCTTCATTACGTCAATGGCAGACATCACTGTTTGAAATCTCTTGATGGCTGGATGGTACCTCAAAGCTTGTTTCTCATACTTGACGTCTTGCCATCGTACACGATTTCCCACTTTCACCTTGGTTACGAAAACACCAGTATCGAATTTTTCTAAATATATTTCCATTTTCACTTTTGCAGAAGGTGAATTATCTAAACAAGAAGAGAAAATCACCATTAATTGATTTATTAACTTTACTACAACTCAAACTTTAAAAGAATATTATGACGATTAATTAAAAAAGAATAAAATTATGATATTGCATTAGTGCACTAACTGTTTGCTAATTTTTTTTTTTTTTAATAGTTCGCAATCGGGGGCCCCGCTTATATTTGGCGATTTGAAAAATACATCTATATATATGAAACTAAACCAAGAACGGTAAACAAAAGTTGCAGTAATCCAAAGGAGACATCATTGAAAGCAAAGAATAGCATTTCTAACGAGGTTTTAGCCTAACTAAACGATTGATGCTTGTTCTCTTATTCTCCCATTAGCTGGAATGATTAAAAAATCCCAAACCTACTCAATCAGGTAAGCCAGTAAAGAGCATTTATATTAAAAAAATTAAATACATTTAAGATAAATATTAAGATCACTTATGGCTTGAAACTCAAAAACACATGATTATCATAATGAAAAAAAAATCAAGCTAATCTTTCAATAAAAGAAAGCACAAGAATAAGAATAAATGTAATGTTACTAACTCGTTATCCCCACCTCTTTTATAAGAAAATCCACATAGCATGTTTTTATAATTTAAATTATTTAAAGCAGATTTGAGATGCAATAAAAAAAAGAATGTGTGAATGATAAATTTAGTTAGCAATGAATCGAAATCAAAAATTTATTTTTAGCTTCAATAAATTTATATAGCTTCAATAAATCAAAATTGTGTTTAATGTAAAATTAATTATTAAATATAAAAACTATTACCTCTACCTTACAAAACTATTTAATGAACTACCTTTACAAGAACTACTTAAAAATTCAATTTACTATATTCTGACAAGTCGTTATAATTTTATTTTAAATAACAGGTATTCTTTGGCTAATTTACGTTTTATTAAATATTTTCCAATATTTTCTTGGTTTTCAGTCTCTTCTACTGTCCAGATAGATATACATTTTCTCTTTCCAGAAAAAGAAAAAACTATATTTCTAACTCCTTTATTTTTTTGTTGAGATGTGTAAAAGTATAATTCTAATATCTCATTGAAAATACTACGATAAACTAAACTTTTTTTAATATTCGAACTTATACTATAAGTGCTTCACTAAAACTTCAATAAACGCATTTTTAAAATCCAATAAAAGCTTCACATAAAAGGCATTTGTAATAGCAATTTGAATGTGAACAAATTATAAGATGATATATGATGATGATGACTTCAAAAGAGATGCTAATAATGCGAATAACACCAAAAGATTTTATAGAGTTTATTAAGTGTGTGACGTCACATAAATTCGACTCTCTAAAGAGGGGAAAAACAGATCTCGGATGGCTTGCATCGACCACAGTTCTGAAGTAAAATAACCTGGAAGACGGATCTTGGATTACAATTCCTCTTTCTACGCAAATGCTGGTTAGTTCCATCAAAAAGTACTTGTGGTTACTTAATAGTTATGTTTGTCAGCTATATCAGAACACCATATCGAATATCTTATAACTTCAGAAACATTTGTGCCAGGGTTCTGAAATTCGAACATCGACTAGAATGAGCACTTTTCGATCCCGATCCTGAAAATTTCAATTACTCCGCTCACTAAAGATGTTTGAAAAAGGAATTTTTCGCATTGATTTTAGCATTAGCCATTGTTATAAGTTAAAAGATAGATGATTTTGTCTAGGAGTTTATTTCACGTGCTTTAATGTTTAATTATTTTTTTACAAGCTTAATGATCAACGTGAATAGTACGCGAAAGCTACATCACCGAATTTAATTAAAACTGTCTGAAACGACGCTTATTTTATTTTCAGTTGTGTTTTTAAAACGTATTTCTATTAAACTGAACTATTTTAAATAAAGGGTAATTGAAATAAAGAAAACTAAGTTTGCTTATGTAATCACAAGCAAAATTAATGGAAGAAACATAATGATTCATTTAGGAGTATGACTCGCTAAACGCTGTGCAAAGCGTAGAGGTAGCGGGTTCGAATACCGCTGTTACCCGGGATGTATCTTCATTCTGTCCTCTGTTTTGTACTATCTGTCCTAATATTTGACAAAGATTTATAAGTCTAAATTGAGCACACGAGCCTGCAAATACAGTCAAACCTCGATATCTCGAACTTGAAGGGAGAGGAGGAAAAATTCGAGATACCGAAAATTCGAATTATCGAAAATCGCATGCCATCGATGATAGAATAAAGAAAAACGCTCTTTACATACCTTATTTACTATTCCATATTTATTCCAAAAACACTTTTTACACTTTCATTTTAAAAAAAAGATTCAATTGTTGTTTGCTTTAGAGATGTGTAAGGAAGTTTGTCTATAACACTTTCTAAGTGGCCTATAGCTTTAAATGTCTCCTCTGACACATTCGGCTGTCCTTACAGTGTTCACTGCAGAAAGTGCTTGTTTGTTAGTAACATTGGGCGGTAAATCTTCGATTTCCTCTTCTTCTGATAGTTCACAAGAAGCTTTCGTTTGAGCGATGATATCATTGTCATCCCACTGAACACCCACTGTTCCTGCATCATCTACGCTTACAAAGTCATGAAATTCCATGTCATCAAGTTTCATGAGTCCGGTCAATCTGTCCCAATCATTTTCAGTGTAGTTTTCAGCAGAATTAACGATATTGATTGTTTGACTACTTTCGTGATCTTTAATGAATCCAGCCTTCTTGAAGCCATTCATTATCGTAGAGAAAGACACATCATTCCATGCCACTGTCGTCTTTGTGTCCATTTTTTTAAATATTTATGTCCATTGTTTTTGGAATAGTTTTTTTATTTTCTGAAGAAAAATCTACACTTTTTATGGAGAAAAAAAATTCAAGTTATCGAGGGATTAGAAAAAAAATTCGTGAAATCAAGTTTTTTTAACATTGAGTGTACAGGAAATTTGAAGGGAATTTTTTTTTCTTCGAGATATCGAAAAATTCGTGAAATCGAGGTTCGAGTTAGCGAGGTTCGACTGTATATGTAATTCAAATAAACCAATGAACGCAAATACGGATTAGGTGCATCATAAAGTCCTCCCTGAAGATTATTCCTACTGCTTGATCCACGAGATTCACTGTTTTCTGGCTTAGGTTTAAAATTACAAGGTTACAGAAAATAGGTCGGCTGTTCAACACCATTTAAAAATAAAAGAAATTGTTCTTGAACATTAATTAAAAAAATTATACAAACCAGTTGATTTTACCGCTTTTGCCTTTGGCTTTTTTGGTGAATTTCGTTTTACTCCATTTAAAATTNGAAAATAGGTCGGCTGTTCAACACCATTTAAAAATAAAAGGAAATTGTTCTTGTACATTATTTAAAAAAATTATACAAACCAGTTGATTTTACCGCTTTTGCCTTTGGCTTTTTTGGCGAATTTCGTTTTACTCCATTTAAAATTCCATTCGGATTATTCATTCGTCGAGGAGACTGCGTAATATTCCTACTTTCACTGACTTCATAGTAGTCAGGACTAATTTTGGCTTCTCGATGAACATGTTCTACCACTCCAGGATAACTGTTTCTGTAGGATTGGTTGGTTTGATAATGAAATATTCCAGATGATGGTGCTGTTGTCAAGTTATATGGGTTGAATGGTTCGTGTTTCCAGCCTCCAAAATTCATTGGGAATTCTTTAACAGTAAGTAAAGTCTGTAAAATTAAATATATAAGAAAAAAATACACAAGGTACAATTAATAAAAATAATAATACGTGAAAGTTAATTTGCGATTAGGTATTGCAAAAGATTTCACTTAAGCTACCTATTTAAAGGGAAACGGTAGTTAAAAAGAAATAAACTTTAACTTCCCTTATTGCAGTCAAACCCCGCTAAAGTGAACTTTCAAGGGACCGAAATTTCGGATGACTATAAACGGGAGTTCACTATATCCATGCCCCAAACAATTTTAAGTTATGGTTCTGAACCCTTTTATTACACATTTTTTTAATAAATGACCAATAAAATGAAATACCAAAATGACTAAAAAGCAATATGTATTAACAAAAAATGCGTTAAATTTTATTTCTTTACTACAGTGAACAAAAAATAACATATGTGCATAGTAAGGAGCGAGAGTGAACGTTATATTCACTATAAGCCGTGTTTACTATATCGGGGTTTGACTGTATTATTTTTAATTAGTAACTCAACCTTAGACAGGAATGTGTGCCTGAAAAGATGATCAAGATTATGTATTTAAGTCAATAAATGATTCATCCATTAGGATTCGCTTATTTACGCAAATAAATTAAGAAAGATTTTTGGAAATTTTCAAATATTAAATTTAATTATTAATATTTTACGTAACCGCAACATTTGAACCGAAACAAAATTATGAGGTTTTCAATCTCTCATTAACTTCAATATCAGTAAGAACTGTATACAGTTGTTGCAATAAAAGACAACTATGAATTCAACAGTTGTAGTTATAAAAGATTGACTACTTGCATGAAAATAAATGTTACAAATTTTTGTATTATATGCCTTACTAAATGTTAATACATATATACTACGAATGTGATAATGAGATGTGATAGTACTAATAAGTTAGATACTGATAAATAAGATGTATACTGATAAATACAGATAATACTGATAAATAACCAGATACTGATAAATAAGATAATATTAATAAATAAGATGTGAGATTCTGTGGATGTATATTTTTGTAAAACTACCCATTGTCTGAATAATTCGACTGAATAGGAGATTATAATTAAATTGGTTTGGATGTAATAATTATTAAAAAAGTAGAATTAAAAAGAACTAGAAGGATTTACGTCCCTCTCCCTCTGTTCACCAATTCCCGTGATTATTTCCCATACATCGTACTTTTTTCCTTATAAGTTGATTTTGTTAATGAAATATACTTAATAGTTAAAATTTTTGTAAAAAAAAAGAGTGTTAATGTTTAAATTGTAACGAAATCAGTGATTACCTGGATTTGAAAATAAATCAACTGAGCTTAAAAAGAAATTAAACGTGAACATATAAATTGATTGACACTAGACTGAGAAACAATAAATAGTAATTTTACTCATTACCAATATTAATAACGTTTTTTTTATATTTTTTTTTATATTACTCTTTTTTACATTCAAAACTTCAATATTTATGATGAAATCTATACCTGGTAACATTCAATTGCTCTCTTTTCTTCAAAAGAGCGAGATCTAATTCCTTTTCTCGAAAAAATTGGAATTAAAAAAAAAGTTGTAATAAGATCATAAATAAAAGCTCTCATCGTATTCTAAGCACTTTTTTCTGCCCTATGCCAAACTTCGACGTCGTAGTTGCATTCCTGAGATCTGTAGAGCGGCCCGAATGATATTTTTTACTACAGATTTAACAAATAATAATTTTCGAACAATATTCAAAAATTGCTTTTTTTTTTTTAAATCTCATCGTACTCTAAGCACTTTTTTCTGCCCTACTTCGCTACTATTTTAAGTTTCTACAGCTCATAGTTTTTGCACAGCAAAACAAAAAGCAACACAAAAATGAACAGTTAAAATAGAATCGTTGCATAAGAATTTTTGTAATCTAAAAAGTAAATGCTAAAATAACGAAGCTCTAACACTGATTTCAAATTCAATACTTAACTTTCAAAAAAATTAAATACAGTTGAAAAGTAAAGGGTTTTAATGTAAGATTAAAGATAAGCCCCATTTTTAAAAATATTCAGGAGAGTGTTTTGGTGAAAATCTTCCAAGACTCTCGTGTAAACAATAAGTCATAATATAAGCAATAGATTCTATGTCATCAAGCTTCTGAGTATTATACTGATATCTAGTGGAAATCCGAAAACTTGTAAAGTACCTAGCTAAAAATAATATTAAGGAATAGTTTGATTTAAAAATTTCACCTTTGGAAAAAGGGTAGCTATCATTATATTTTTCCGTGCCATTTAGTTGGGTGCTTGCAACTCAAGAAGAAAGCAGCTAAAATTAGCTGCCTTCAGCTGTATAAACAAGAACACTTGTTAACATCAGAGCTATTAGGTTTGTTTTATTATCACGCTGAATCAAGTTTCGGATAAGATTTAATTAAGTACCTGCAAGAGACGTCACGCTTGGGTGTCGAATCTGATTGGCTGGTGAATCGTGGCATAAGCAAATGTCAGTATTCAAAATCCAAGCAGGTTCGACGTGTGACTTTGCTTTCGTGTGCCCTATTTAGGATTGAATTTTATAAAAAAAATTCATATTTTTCACCTATTCTTCCTCATTGCATACTTATTTATGCATATTACTTTCTTTTAAGATCTTTTATAATTACAATATTTACGAATTTTATTCATTATTTGCCTAATACTACACTTCTCGTAGTTGTAATTATCATTTTTGATATTTTATTGAATCGTGCTAAACCAATAGAAAATATATCTAAAAAAAGGCCATGAGAATATTTATTTACTTGGAAAATGTTAAGAAGTCTCTAAAAATTAGTAGCAAAACACAAATATCGAAATTTAAACTAATGTGAAATTTCGATTAAAATCAGTTTTGCATTTGTATTTCTTAAAATATTTATTGAATGAAAGTAAATAATTAAACAAAATATAATAAGCGATAACATTTAAATTACATACTACGTAATAATTAAACAACATAAACTTGAGTTAAAAAAAAAACACTGGTCATAGACGAGTTTAAAAAATCTCGATAGTACTTACTGTTTGCATTCACTTAAAAAGATGATGTTTACGATTTCTGAATTTCGAATGGACTGATAAAAAGTTATCTATAGCTGTCTTTATCTATAACTGTTTTATCAATATACACTAAAGAAGAACTGATCTGTCTCACAGTTAATACTCATGAAAGAAGGATTTGGAAAAAGAAGCTCCTCTTGCGATGCGTGCATAATGAATGCGTGTTAATAGGTAAAAAATTAAAAATGACAGTAGCGTATGAATTTGTGAAAGAATACTTTACATATTGAAAAGAATAATTTAAAAAAAATTATATATATATATATATAATACAACAACAATTATAAAATATATATTATATTATAAAATATTATATATTATAAAATATATNTTTTTTGTAATACAGATATTGTAATACTGTATTTATTATTAAATTCTACATTAAATTACCTTCAATTTGATATGTAAACGTTTGTATTTAAGTGAAAATTAATATATTCTACAAGCACGCAAAGTTGAAAAACATGAAACTTTTAAAAAGTGTCCACACTTTTGGCCACCACTGTATATTATAAAATATATATTACAACAACATTTACTATCTATTTCCTCTGTCAAGCAATTAGGTTTCAGCAATATCAGTTTCGTCTCCTTTAATAGTGATTTGTGAAATATCTATAGCTTTATTGGTTCTTCACGTTTAAATATTTATTCGTAACCGCAATATTTTTAAGCTAAGAATATTCTTTTCCACAATATTTATTTAAAATGATAGAGAAATATAAAAACACTTTAAAAATGGTACCTCACTATAAATTTTTCTATTTTTTGAATGAAAAATATCAATGTTTCGCAAAGTGTCATCGTCTAATAATGATGGTCCCGATTAATAACTAAAATCACAAATATCAGAAAATAAGTCATGAAATTAGTTTTTTTTTTTTAATTTTCTGTAATTCCTTTCTTTTTATCAAAAAAATAAATCTTTATTTGTAACCGCAATATTTATACGCTAAGAATTTTCTTTTCCACAATATTGTTCTAAAAATCCTCTGCAAATATTCTTTTATTTATTTAAAAGGATATCGAAATATAAAACCACTTTAAAAGTTTCACTTCACAATAAACTTTTCTATTTTCGGAATGATCAATATTAATCTTTCGTAAAGTGTCATCGTCTAATAATGATGGTCCCGATTAATAACTAGGATCACAAATGTCAAAAAATAAGTCATGAAATTAGTTAGTTTTGTTTCTTTATGAGTAATTCCTTTCTTTTCATCAAAAAAAAAAAAAAAAAAATNAAAAAAAAAAAAAAAAAAAAATCTCACTCACCTCTAAAAGAAAAATATTTCCAAAATTCTTCGGATAATCCAGAATCGATAGCTGTATTTGTCTCATTGAATTACGTTGCCTCATTTAATTTCGCAAACTATTTTCAGATAAAATATCATTCCAAATACAACAGACATGCGCAGAACTCTTTGTTAGTTTCTCTTAGAACTCTCTGTTAGAGTTAGTTTCACTTTTACTTGAGCGTCTGTCTGCGGATGTGATGTCATTTTACAAATGGCGACTGTTAATAAGTAAGAACGGGTTGAATAATAATAATTAAAAAAAATTTTGTCGGGCATGTAATAAGATAAATATTTGAAAGATAACAAGCAGTTGATAATTACTTCTTTACTTAAAATAATATTTCTTGCATTGATCAGAAACGCATCGAAAAATTTAAAAATTTGTTTTTCTTTAAAAAAAATTTAGTACTGGAGATATTTAGCTTCACCTGTTTTATTAATTATTTTTGGGTTAAAACGGTAACCCAAAGTAGCGGATTTAAGGGGAAAAAAGTCAATGTTAACAAAAATTGATATATTTAATTAGCTGTGGTTTTAAATTATGAAATAAACCTTATTTCAGATTAATAGACGCGACGAATTATATGACAATCATAAAATAGAACAGCTTTATAATTTATAAGATACAACTATATAATTAGAAGGAAAAATGATAGAAGTAACATTAACTTCAAAACAATTTTTAAAACATAACAAATCTAATACAATAAATTTAAAACCGAAATGTGGTATTTTAATTAAATATTATATAAAAAGAGGGATTGGTTATAATATTTTAGCTCAATAATAATGATTATTAATGGGATAGGGAAATTATATATGTAGAAAGGAAGTAGTGGCAATTTTGTTTCAAAATAATTTTCTTAATTATTAAAATTAATTAAAAAAAGTAAACGATGAATTTGTGAGGAAATAAAAGAATATCACAACTCGTTCTGTTCCATTCATACAATAAAACATGTTCTCCAAAGACGTGTATAGCAATACGATTGTTATTATAAAAACTAGAAAAAGAAAAAAAATTAATAAATAAAGTTCACTAATGAGTAATTTTTAACTACTCTAAGCAGGACTCGAAATTTTAAGTATTTGACTTTTTTGAAATTAAATTTCTCAGGAACTATTCGACTGATTTCGCTAAAATTTTGCATTTTGCCACATAAAATTACATCCTTTAAAATGATGCAAAAAATTTTCTACCTTACAATTCAAAATATTTTCAAACATTCTTAAATAAAATAATAAATCTTTACTAAAAGTTATTTTTTGCATGAAAATATGTTTGGAAAAACGAAATTTATAATTGTGTGCAAAAAATTTTCAATTCGCTTTAAAAGTTTTCGAGACATAAGATAGGAAATACGCAAAAAGTAAAATTAACATTAGGAGGACCAAACTATTGGGACCATATTACCCAGATTGCTACCCTCTATATTTTGGGAGTCGGAAATCCGAATCCGTCGGGGGAAAAAAGTTATGTTTAATCAGAGAAAGTACGTTTTTATGTCTGATTTTTGATTTTGTAACTTAAAATATCGTCTGAACTTCTTAATAAGCATATTTGAGGTCACCCCCTCGAGCTATTAAAATTGAGTCCTAGAGCGTAAAAATCCGATCATTAGATCAAAAGCTATTCAGGGTGGTCCGTCATATTTTTTGGTTCTCTGTACATTTACAAATCAAGAAAATCGTTTATTTCGTTACGATTAACATATATCAACGAAATATTCTTACATAGAATTGTAAAAATAAATTTTGTTAACATAATGATAGTTTTCAAAAAAAATAAAAAAATTCGATTTTTAAGGGGCAACTTACTTTTTGAAGAAAAATATTTTCAAAACTCTTCGGAAAATGATGCAGGTTAATCAGTCAGTTGTAAAGTTTTGGCAATCGTTAACGTATTAGTGACACTGAATTGCATAAATTAATTCCAGCTGATTCTTTGCATCACCTCATGGACAACAGACATACGCAGAAAACTTGGTTTCACTTTTACTTGAGCGATTAGCTTCGAGAAAGGAAAGCAGCCTTTCCTCACGTTGGCAGCATTTCCTGTTTCCATGTTGAATCAAAATGCAATCATTCCGTTAGAGAACGAGAAAAAATAAAAAATATTTATCTTAGAAAAATGGTTACAGGAAACTGGAAAAATAAGTTTTTTTATTCAAAAAAAGTATATAAATTTCATAGATATTAGGCGTTGAAAAATTACGTAAGCATGTTTAGGTCCTTTCTGATGCATACACAAGTTGAAACTCCCCCACCCTTGTTTTTTGCTGTGCTTTTACTGTAGCAATCTAATTTTAATACTTTTAGGATTAAATTCAAGATGATGTAATTAAGAATAAAACAAATTCATGAAATTTCGAAACTACCAAAAGAATTTTTTTTCTTCTTTCTTCAAATTTAGCTTTTATTTCATGTTTGAAATTTTTCCATATGTAATTTTCGTTTCAAGTTTTTTATCACGTTTTCTTTTGCATTTTAAGAAAAGTTTAAAAATTTTAATGCTTAACATTAGCATTGTTTATACCTCTCCTCCGCGCTTGCAAATTAAACTATGCATACGATAATTCCTACCCCCCCCCCGTTAGATGCTTATGCAATATTTTAACAACCGCAATTTAATTTTGACTTCTATATTAATTTTTGTTAAAACAAACAAGTGACCTAAGATAACAGGCTTAGAAAGAAAAAAATACTGGATTTTAACAACAATATAGTTATTTTTCCAGAGTTTAGAAATAAACATTATTTTTGATAAACAAAATGACGAATTACATGACAGTCGCGAAATAGAATAGTTTCAAGGCTTGTAAGATAGATCTTTATAATTAGAAGAAAATATTATATGCAGGACTGATTTAAAAAAAAAATATATGACTAATTTAATAAAATATATATTCAGATGAAATGAAATGTAGTATTTCAAATTAACGTTATGATGAAGAGATGGATTTGTTATAATATTTCAATTTAGTAATTATGATTAATAATATAACTTTCCACCACGTAAAAAGAATATAGCGACATTTTTTCTCAATAATTTCCTTTTTAATTGAAATTTAAATCAAAAAAAGGTGAACGTTAAATTTAGAAGTAGAAAAAGGAATAACAAAATTCGTTTCTTTTCATATATATACAATTAACTCAATCATGTTAAAAGATGGTTTTTGAAAAAAAACTAAAAATGATTAAAAACTTGCGACTGAAATAAATTTCTTCGTCGCAGCCTTATTGAAAATAACCTATCAATTTAAAGAAAATATCAGCTTTTATTTAAAGAATTAAAAAAAGGGGAAAAAAAGCCGCCACCTGGAACAGAATTCCAGTTCTATGCATACCACAATGATTAAACCGCTGTGCCCTTTGCAGCGACTGTAAATCAAGATCTGTAAAATTTTAAAAGTTCTCATTAAACTTATTAACTACTGGGGATACTTGAAAAAACATTTTAAGCAACTTAACGATTTTATTTAGCTTCTTCATCGAGGAAAAGTGTCACAGCGTGGAATGAAATTAATGTTCTCTCAGGAGGGTCACCTTAGGCATGAAGACCATTTTACGAGTATTATTCTCAGCTAGATCAGACGGGTAAAGTTAGTCTTATTTTCTTCAGGTGTTCCAGTCTCTAAACTAAAAGAAGCTGCCCTCTTCCCATATCTGCCAAAAAGGTTTTTCTTAACTTGTGTCAAACACAGATTGAATCCTTCTATTCTAGAACATATCTTATTGGGTTTTGTTCTGTATACCGTTTTTTGGTGCTAGATTTTGGAGGTTTTACATACTCATGGGCCAGATCGTGAAAAATTGGCATCATTTTTAGAAAAAAAAGATAATTATATTTTGAGACATTTTTCCATTCTTGTAATTCGTTATTCACCATGCATAACAATCAATTGTAACTGCAATACTTTGACCATGTAAATGGAATGGATGAATTAAAACTCTATTATCAATTGTAAGGGAAGAAAATGAGCAAAAGAACGACCCTCTACATCAGGAACTTTATTGGTTTATTCTGAAAGTGCTTATTTCAGCAGCACTTTTCATTATAAAGAAAGCACTACCAAAAAGGTATAAAAGCAAACATATTCATATAAAAGCATGGATAACAAAATGACTAGATCTCTAAAAACATTTTTCATAATAATTATAAAACGTATGTAAATTATATATAAACCAACATAATCACCAACAAATCATTAATTTTGATCAACAAACAGAAAATATTAAACTTAACTGACACCACATTCTCATGAAATCCTTTATACAAACATAATAATAAAATAAATAAATTGGTACAAAAACAGCTAACTGCAATAAAACAATATCATTTCAATAATGCACTAAAAATTATTGCCATAAGTTCAATACATATTCCTAAAACTAGCGTTTGTACTTGACAATATTCACCTAACTTTTTCCAAATGAATTGACTGATATGAAATGTATTCACAATAATCTGTCCCATACAATCATATTAAAGATACAATCTTGCAATATAACTGCATGTTAATTGCTACAACTGATGAAATTTTGCTACTCTAAATGACTCTCTAGCTGTACACAATAACACTCAACCTTAACATATTAAAAACTAGAATTGATACAGATGTGATAAACAGAACGTCTATTCAGCAAAACAAATAAAACTTTACTTGAAAAAATACATAAATATGTTACAGAATATAAGTAGATAGCACATAACTGCATTTAGTACTGTTCTTTGTTTACCCTGTTTAAGATAGATTGTAAGTCAGTTGAGAAGTAAATTAATAAGTAAAATTAAAAATTTTGTGTAATTTAAGCAGATTTATAATAAGTTTTACAAACAATTTAAATACATTGAAAAATGATTTTTCGTACATTACATTCATAAACAACGTTGTTCAAAATAATATAATCAAAATGAAAGAGCAAAATAGGCATACTCTGACGTAGATAAAAGATATTTTAATGAAAATAAGATTACCAATCGCATGGCACCATGATTCTTAAATATACAGTAGAGTCTCGATAGTTTCAGTTTCACATAAATTTAAGATTATAAAAAAAAACTCCTTCTTGATCCAAAACAATGACCAACGCACACACAAAATGGAACTATTACTTTGATTGGTTTTGCGATGATTACTACGACTGAATGCTGAAAAACAAATTTTTTTGTCAAACACTGAAACATGTGTTTAAACAAAAAACGTTAGACAATCATTTTAAAGTACAATTAACCAAATGCAGTAACATAATAAATATTGCAACTTGGTGTAATGCAGTAAATGTACCCTGATCGTCTAATGCAACTAAATTTTCTTCAAATATAATATTAATTGAATGCTGAAATTTAAAAACCACTTTATTTTCATTTATACAATAATTCAAGTTTCCAAAAGTTCAAGGTAGGTTCTGCCCCGTCCACCTCAAATTAACGAGACTCTACTGTATCTTCAATAGATTTTTTAGGGAATTTCCGAAAAACTCATATACAGAAAAGTTTCACTGCAGGAAATTCAAGTAGAAAAAAATTGTTGCAGTAACAAGTTGGTTAAGGTACGCTTAGTATGTCAGAAACTGGAAGCCATACAATGATAACACAACTCCAGGCATCTTGCAAAATCTAGGAGTATCTGCTATAGTAAGTATTGGTCATAAATGTATGAGAAGTGCAAAAATACAGTAGAAATGAAATCTTGTAGAAAGAGAATGATTTAAGTTCAGTTCTTGAGTATGTTTAATTAGAAATAATCTCTACCAGTTTCATTTGTTGCAAGCTTTGCAATCTTGTGTTCCTACACGATTTTTTTAATTCTTTATTTATGCCTACTCTGCCCTTTTATTTTCACCATGTTGTTCTGAATCACTCCGTAAAAATAAATATCTAAAGGTTAATTGTAACTATAAATTATTCGGGAAGTAAAAAAAAAAAATAATAATAATAATATACTATCTATAAAGCAATCATAACAAAAATTCCACATAATCTAGAAACACATATAATAAATATGGCTTATTTATTAATTTCTCTAAAGAACATGAATAATTTGGTGAGAATAAATCTGACATTCCTAAATTTTATTAGAGATTTTTATGAAAAATTAAAAAATTCTAAATGTATTTGAAGCTTTTTAACCAACAAAAAATTTAGAGAAATGAATAGAAAGTAGAACATATTTTAAAATTTAAAAGAAAAAGTTTAATTATTAAAAAAGTTGAAAGTATTTTATATACTTACAAATAAATATTGATACTTATATGTTATTTAAAAAAAATCATTATGATTTTTAATCAGCAAACCATGTGTATTATTATAACAGTAAGAGAATTCAAGGTAATTACTATTGAAACTAATTTTGAAACTATAAATTTTCTACCAAAAATTATGTAACTAAAAATGTCACACGTAACAGATAGGTTTCTAAATGTTTCAGAATATTTTTTTTTCGTTTCTGTTATTTCCTGAAATACAAAACAAAATAATTATAATAATAAAACAAAGTTGGTAGTAGATAAAATAAGCATATATCTCTAAAAGGATAAAATAAAAAATAAAAAAAAACAGAAAACTTGTGTCCAAAACAGAGACAGTTTTGAAGGGCTATTATAAACCAATCTTTAGTTTTGATTAACCTATTATAAATAAGTTATTATTGTAACAATAAAACAAAGTAAGTAATAGATAAAATAACCAAAGATCTCCCAAAGAAAAGAACAGAATACTTAAGTCTAAAATAGAGGCAGTTTTAAAGGGTCATTATAAATTAATCTTTCGAACAAAAATGTAAAAAATTCTCAAATGAACACAAGAACAAATAACAATAACTAATGTTAACATGGTATAAAGATAATTCACAATAGTTATGGTAATATGAAGCTCTTGGTTTCTCCTATTGAAATGCAATACTGTTTTATTTCTAAAAATAATAAAAAAGAGTATTATTTTTTTAATATTGAGAGGAAGACATTTTTTTAAAAATAAAAGTCTAAGTGCACATATCGCTGTGAAATTGCAGTCAGAGGGGGTAACCCTTCTAAAATACTCAACGATAAAACATTGAATAAAGTGTAAAAATGTATTACACTAAGTAGTTTAAGAGTTATAAAAGCTATTATGTTTTATGAAACCTGACATTTTAAAATATTTAATTAGAGTGGATTTTCCTTGTTAGCATAATGCAGAAAAGATGATTTCATAAAAAAAATTAATATTTACATTTTCTATGTGATTTAAATAACTCCATCTTTCAAATTTCATTGAAAGTTTCCACACAAAAAAAAAATACATAAATACAGCATGATCATTTTATCAAAATATTATACAACATAATCATTTTGTGAAAATAAACCGGTTAAATATTTCAAACATGATGAAATGCTCAAAATTGTAACTTTCAACTCTTTTTTATTTTTAAACTCTTAAAAGAGAATTTTTTTTTTTATAAATAATAAAATTTTTTTACTAAATAACAACAAAAGAAAAATAATGTTTTTTACAACTTAGATTAATGCTGAATAGAATAAACATAAAATCCTAATAGAATTTAAAAAAGATTTTTAACTGTCCATCTCTCAATAAATAAATAATAAAAAAAAACAACTGCAGAATAGTTATAATATAATCAGATTCATTATATGTTTTGAAAATAAACATAATGTTAGATGTTCACTTTTAATGAAATAATGATATTATAAATAGAAGCAAAATTAACAATAAAAACAGAAAAAACATTAACTAAAATTTTAAATGTATAAAAAACATTAACACAGAATTTTATGTAATAAAAACATGAACAAACATCACAAAGTAAATTACTACATAACATTAAAAACATAAAACATCGAATCAATTTATAAAACTGTAATATGTTGTCCTTTACAACTGTCCTCTGACCTTCCCATTGAGACAGAAGTTGGCATGGCAACAGGCTGAGCCGAATTACCAGTACCCCCAAGTGACTGAGAAGTCATCCCAAGTACTTCTACATGAGATTGAGACACTGGTATTGATAGTGGTCTTGTGTGTGAATTTGGTATAGGTATTGTTGATGAAACATTTAATGGCTGACCACGATTGTGAGTTGACAAGGCCAAAGATTGTGCTACTGATTTAGTTACAGTGTTCGATTGGCCAGAACTGGTGGACACGCAGGACTGCGTAAGAGCTGTTGAAGAATGACCAACAGGTGTTGATACACGTGACTGGACAAGAGAGACTGGAATAGACGGGCAGATAGATACAGGCACATGAGAAGGAGACACAGAATGATTTTGTTGAGACTGTACTAGAGTATCATGACTCTGGTTCATGATACTTCCTCCTCTGGCGGCAGACAAACCATGCGATTGCGACAAGGAAGTTGATATACCATGCGTGTGAGGAACAGAATTTATACCATGCATTTGAACAATGGAGGATGCAATGCTGTGAGAATGAGTTATTGAGTTTTCAATACTGTTAGACTGAGCCATAGAAGTTATACTCTGTGACATGGAAGAAAGAGATTGCGTGGCAGTTTGCTGAGATTGAGTTAGTGGAGGTAAAATTGACTGTGCAATGGAAGCAGGTACTAGTAGAGACTGCGCTATAGATGCCGGCACAACTATGGAATGAGCTATAGACGAAGATAATCCGGATTTTTCTCGGGTGTGGCGTTTGAAATGCGATTTAAGATTACCTTTTGTAGTAAAACCTTTACTGCAAACACTACAAACATGAGGTTTCTCACCGGTATGAGTCAAATGATGTTTTTTCAAAGCGATTTTCTGAGAAAACCCTCGACTACATATACCACAAATATGTGGTTTTTCTCCAGTATGGGTCAGATAATGCTTTTGAAGGTTACCTTTTGTAGTAAAGCGTCTCTTACACACATTGCACTCGTGTGGCTTAACCCCCGTATGGGTAAGCATGTGTTTTTGTAAAGCTATTTTTTGTGTAAATCCCCTTTTACAAATGCTGCACAAATGAGGCTTTTCACCCGAATGTGTCAGAAAATGTATTCTAAGATTGTTAGCTTGGCGAAAACCTCTTTGGCAAACACTACATACATGTGGTTTTTCTCCCGTATGAATAAGATAATGTTTTCCTAGAGTACTTCTCTGTGAAAAAGTTTTTTTGCAAACTGAACACTCGTGGGGTTTTTGCCCACTGTGAACAACATGATGATTTTGAAGATTGCCTTTTGTGGAAAAGCTTTTCTTACAGATGTCACACAAGTTCATCTTAGGGCTTGAGCTATGCAATGAATTGTTTATAAAATGTTTTTTGGCAAGTACATTACTTAATGTTGTTTGAACTTCTTTGTTATAAGCACTAGAATTCTCCATTCTTTTAGAAAAAAGATCTGAATTCTCCACTCTTTTATTAAAATTATTAGAACCATCGGGTCTTTTGTTATACATTTCGGAGCTTTCTAATCTTTTGCTATAAATATCAGATCCATCCGGCCTTTTGTTAAAATGCTCGGATCCTTCTGGTCTTTTGCTGAAGATTTCGTCATCAGTTCTTTTCCCATAAATTTCATTTCCATCTGGTCTTTTATTAAAGGTCTCGGTTCCTTCTTGCCTTTTGTTATAAATTTCTGAGTTTTCAAGCCTTTTATTGTAAATATCAGTTGCTTCTAATCGTTTGCATATACAATTCTCGTAATGCAAACTATTAAAAGCGAAGTTTTTAAAATTTTGATCATTCCCATTGGGAACTTGCATAATATATTGATAATTTTGCATAATTTTCATGCTCATGATTTCTATATAGTAGAGTTATAAAAATAAATTTTAAAAAAGTGTCGTAAACAAACTAATTCACATTTCAATTGCTGATAGGAAAGAAAAGGAATCTCTAAGCTTCATTTGCTAGTTACTTTAAAAAATCTGGAAAAATAAGCAATCATTTTTTATAATAAGAGCAGAACAGCGAAAAATATTTAGCAAACACCGATAATGTTAATTAACAGTTTGACATATCCGAGCAAAGATAAACAATCTCCATTAAATTTTAACGAGCTGAGTTGAGTAGATTGAACATTTTAAGACACAGACGAAATTCAGAAACTTGTCGCCTTTTTAAAATTTTCTGGAGAGACAGTTAATAACTTCAACTACAATTCTTGTGAAATTTAAAACGCAACTTTCAACTGTATACAAATAAAAAGAGAAACTTCACTATAATTGCTGTATTATTCTACTTAAAATTACATTTTTCGTTCTTGAAATCGGAGCAACAGCTGAGAATCTTCTCTTGTGTGTGCGTTATTATTTTGTTTTAATGAAATTTTTTACTATGCTAAATGTTTCGTTCGATATTTTAAAAATGTATATTAAAATTGCTTTTAAAACATGAAATGCGATTCTCGGGAAATATTTTTGTATTGGTACCTGCTCTGAAAATGTCACCAAATTTTTGCGACAATTGGGCTGACAAGAAATCAGCATCTTTCTAAGAAGTTCATCAATTAACAAGTTAATTATGCGTTGCGTCAATTAAGTGTATCATAAAGTAAAAGTATAACTGCAATTTATTCGTTTTATTAAAAAAGATTACAATATTGATGCTGGAAATATCTACTTATTAAGTAACGAAGTAGTATAGTTCGTATACCTGAAAATTGTTAATTTTCATCTTCTACTAAACTGTTGAATTATTTATTTAACTATGTGTTATGTTAATAATTGGGGATATCTCCGTAACGAGAACTGTCGCGCTAACTACAATCACCTAGATGCCAAAAGGATGGGGATTTTAAACTTGAAAATTTTTTAAAAACAAAAACGTTTAAATGTTTGCTCTGGGGTAACTACAAGTTATACCTTTCAAGTTGGTCCTGTTCTGTGATGTTTTTTTTTTAATTTCTCGCAAGCCACTGACCTGAAGTTGGCAATTATTCTGTCACAGATCATGATACAGTTATTTTCCCTTATAATTTATATATTTAATGATAGATAAAAATATGATGAAAAGATTCTAAGTTTGAACATTTGTGGGTTAAGTGGCAATAATAATATTAAGAAAATGAATAATTAAGATTCTGAATTTTTTGGAAGGTTTCCGTATTGTAATCTACAGCAGAGTAATTGCCAAGTCTTGGCAACTTCTAAGCGGCAGCCCGCGAGAAGCTTTAAAAAAAAATTTACAGAAGGAGACCAACTTGAAGCTTTGTAGCTACCCCTATGCAAACCTCTACACACTTTGATAAAAAAAAAATTTACATTTTAGAATTCATTCGGCACTTTGATGTTTTTAGTTTGCACTACCGATCTCAATACAAAAATATCCAAATATTTTTTTTTATACAAATTGCTTGAGGGTTTGTTAATTTTAAGTTAAAATTAATACCACAATCGCTTAACTATAATTCAGTGGTTCCCAAATTTGTTTAAAAAAAAAAGAGGTGTTCTTTTTTTCCTTTCAATTTTGATTTTTCCATTGCTCCATAACATTAAAGATTACGTTATGAAAAAAAATGAATGCTATGAACCTCTCATATCTATTGTTTTATAAATTTATTGGATATCAATTTCATTAACAGTTATTAAAATACAATGGCATCCAAGAGAATTGTAGCACACACTTTTGGAATCCCTTGTATTATTCAATTCTCCGGAATTTGTTTTCCTAGTTAATATTTATGTCGGACTAATATTCTAAAAAAAAAAAAATTTTTTATTTCTTTTGATGTTTTAGAGAGATAGTGGAAAACCGGATTGACTTTTAATCGCTAAAATAAGCAATTTTTCTAAAAAAGTACTATTACTTTTTTAACTACAGATAAAGCTAAAGTTTTATGTATATATTTAAATATATATTTATCTTTAAATAGGGGTTTAGTTGATCAGTGAATTAAAGTTAAAGCTCAAGTTTTTTATTTATATTTATCTCGATTTCATATTTAAATCAAGGTTTAATTTATCAATGTATTAAATGGATCCGTTCATCTGAACAAAATTACAATAAATTGTCTTAACTGTTCTGTCTACATTATAGAAAATATATCTCTGTAATTTCACGTCAAATTACAGAATTGATTTAAAAAAAGTGTATTAATAAACTGCACTTCTATTCAGTATAGTACTTATCAAGGTATTATAATCTATTAATCTTTCACTGAGTTGAATTGCTTTAAATTTATTTTTCTGTGGTGTTATTGTTTTTTTCCTGCATTTTTATACTTTCTTTTTATTAAGATGTATCAATTTACTGTATTTATAATTTTTTTTCTCTCTTTCAGATTGTATTTGATGGTATCAGTTACAGTTTACTAGCAGCAATCAGCTTAACAAAAAGTGAATTGCACCAGAGCAAGCCTCTTGCTTATTTCAGTTTGTTCTTATCATATATTAACTCTACAAACCGCTGTGTTTATGATCAATTATATGATTATTTTTCTGTTTTGTTTATTTAAAGTAATCTTTGTCAAATAACAGCATTTCTTATTTAAAAACTTTTGATACCATTGTTTGAAATACAATGATTTTACATTATAATTTAACAGTCTGTAACCATAGTGTGGGTTGTGCTGAAATGATCAGCATTTGACAGTTCATGGTTTAATGTCTATTACTATTATACATCTTGTTAATTTCTATTTCTAAATTTATTGATCAATACTGAAAATGTCTTGCAGTCACAGTCTTGTTAATCTACCTGATTTAGTATTGCATCACATATGCACTTTTTTAAGTTGCCCATTTGATTTGTTGCACTTTGGAAGCACATGCTCTCGCATACGTAAAATTACTTTGTCAGAGAGTCTTTGGTGGCCTCTTGCATTTCAGTGGTTTGATGGTTTGTGGATCATGTTACATAAAGCTTCTAGAAGATACAATTCTAGAGACTGGTTTTTAGAAACAATTAAATATTATTCAACTCGTTCTTCCAGAACTAAACAAGAATGCTTATTTTTAGATGGAGAGAAATGGGAAAGAGTTGATACTAAAAAAGCACGTTTTCTTATTAATCTCCTCGATTTAGTTTATTCTCAAGATTTCGATAGTCCTTTTGTTCTTTATGAAAGATATCTCTATGATATTGGAATGTATACAAGAATGAATCCTTGCCTTAACTTTGCCGATGATAATCTTGAAATATCGCGAAACACTATCCTTGAACTAGCAGATCTCAGTCAAGCTGCTGATCGAGATCTTCGTCGCCGAAAGCAACCATTTAAAGACTATAAATATTATATAAAGCGTTTTGGTACCTCAGCAAATTGGAAAACAGATCTTTTTCCTTCAAATATTAATGGCTCAATCTGCCCCTTACTATTGTGTCCATTAAGATGCACTTCAATTTCAGATGCTTCTAAAGTTGAAGCATTACGCTTATGTCTTTCAATTATTTTGGGAAAACATTTGAGATCATGTTATACAGTTTCAAGTATGCCTTTAAAAGATCTGCCCGATGCTTTTCATTTATTCACATCGGTATTTTTATCACATCTTCTCAGCTCTTCAGCACCTGTTGCACTAGATAGCGAAGGGAAGGTGTGTTTGAAAAAATGTTCTGCATTGTTGTGTAAAGATTTAGCTCGCTTTGAAGAATTGCAATATATGTTTCATGCCTTTGGTTTTAATATTAGATATGAAAATGTTTTGACTGATATTGGTGATTTTTTCACCAGACTGGAGAGTCTAAATCATGCAGTCGATCAAATTCGTTTGAAATTAAGAAAAGAAATGATGTTGGAAATTGAAAAAGTGCTTTTTCCAAATAATGAAAGAAATGATGTAACTCGAGTCAACTTGACTGACAGTGATTTCATTGGTGGTGATAACTGTCAGCAAGAAATGTCAGCCGCTGCATTTATTTCAAACAAAGGGGCTTTTGTTACCTGGCATTTGATTGGAAGAATGAGGTTTTAACTTTATAACATGTATTTACAAGTCCTTATATTTTCAGTAATTTTGCTATCTATTGATATATTTATTTTAAACAAAAGTTAGTTACTTAACAAATAATCATAAAAGAAGATATATTTATTTAGAAGTATGTATTTTTTTGGTTCTTTACTTTACCCTTTTGTTGAATGCTACTGAAATCAAGGAAATATTTGAATTATTTTATGTGTGGTCATTTTTAGTTTCATTACTTTTATAAATTCTTAAAATTCAGAAACCTAAATCATAGTTAAAACTATCAGCAAAAATTAATATCACTTATTTGCATGTGCCATTTATTTCTTACTTTTTATAATCCATAATGGAACCATATTTTTACAATCAGTAATTTGTTACTGTGATCTAAATTGCATTGCATTTATCCAAAATGATATTAAAGCAAATAAATAAATGTAAGTAAAACACAAATGAAGTACAGAAATGAACCTACTAGCGTTTCGATTCTCTAAACAAGATGATGTCGACAAGTAAACTTACCCCAAAAGGTCTGTTTATACCAGAATATCCTAGGGAATCCTTTATGTTACGAAGATATCTACATAGTACAAAGGATTCCCTAGTCTTCTTTTGCATATTCTAATAAAAACGGCCTTTTTTGACACTGAGAAAGGTTCTTGTTTAGAAAACCAAAACTTTGTACTATGTTCATTTATGCTTTATGCATGTTTTTTTGTTTTTATCTACTTGACATTTAAACATAATTAAAGATATAGAACAGCTAATTATCAAACCAATGCATACAAAATTTGTTTAAAAATTATTATAATTGCACATTTATAGCTTAAAATAATATTCTGTTTATGCTTTGTTTTTATTTTATTTGATGTGTTCCTCACTATTAATTAGAGGATTTTATTTATAAGTGTAATAACTTTTTTAAAAATTTGAATTATTATCTCTGAATTAAAAGCTTACTGTTGACATTCTGAGGACAATTTTAAAATTTGTAATCTGCTCCATAGATTCATATTTCTCATGTAGCTCCAGTAGGCTTATGGCTCTTAATAGGCTTATCGTTCTTTTTGATTTAAAGTATTTCTTAAAAAATTTTGCTTTTGCTATCTGTGAGAAAAATAATAGATGAACTTATATTAGGTTTTAAATGTTTTTATTGTTATTTATTTTGATCGAACTATTATAATGCAGGTGCTGTTTTGTGTTATATGTTAGAAAAATCATTGGTGTGTATAAAATTGTCTTAGGAAATCTATATTAAATGTATTTATCTTTTTAAATCTTTATATCATGTTGCGTTATTTAAATTTTTAATATAAATGTTATTTATTATTGTTATGTTCAATGCTTATTTTTTTTCTCTCCAACAATAAAAAAATGAAAAAGAAAAGCATTAACTTGATATAAATATGGTCATAAATGATTTATCCATTTACCGTCAAAATGTTTAGATTAGATCTTTATATTTTACTTTTGTTAGATCTTCCATAATATTATTATTTTAGATACATTATTTCCTTATTAATATTTATTCCTTTTAATTATTGGACTATTTTATAGTCAATAGAAGTTGCAGCTGTTTTCTTATGAAATATATAAAGTCCATTCTTTTTTGTTTGATTTTTATTGTTTATATTTGATTTTTAGTTTTATTGTATATTGTAAAATATAACTTGTTAAGACTGTGTTTTGGGGACTTCACTTTTACTTCAGTACTCATTATTGTATTATTCAATGGTAAAAAGAATTTTTGTCATTAGTTATTACTCAAAATATCTAACTTAAACATATCTAAACTCTGGGTAGTATTGATTATTAGTTTTAGTTTTGATCCTTGTCATGAATCCTATACCAGCTGCCTTTGGCAATGAGCTTAATTATCACAGACTTGGTGCTTCTCACTTCATAATTACTTTTTCGTAATGTGGCTCTTCAATACTTAACTAAAAAATATTGTATCAAATTCTACATTTTAACTCATGTTAATAATAGCTGAGAAATTGTGAAAGTTTTAAAAGCATTACCTTGAATTTTTACTTGAGTTGAAAACAATAAATCTAATAGGGTATGGGAAACTATCGAATTCCAATTTAATTATTTAAAAAGTGGTTGTACATATGCAAACACTTTTTTTACAGTATTATTTACCACTGAAATTGTAGCTTTTCTCTTAAATTTTTTGGTTTTTAATCAACTACAGTACAGAACCCGTTATCCGGAAATCCGAAAACCGGAAAACCAAAAAACCAGAACAAAATTCGATAAATTTTCTCGCCATTTTTAAAAAAAAAATTTTTTTTCCTCGTAAGATTTTACGATTTTTTTTTTCTTTTTTTAAAGATGTTTACCTTACCATCATTTTGGAAATAATCATTAGTGTATTACTTCATCGTTTTTTCTTATTTTTAAGATTATTTCCAAATTTTTTTTTTTTTTTTTAGTTGGGTTTAACAATGAAAAAAATGGCTTTTTGTAGCGATTCAGAAAACCGGAAAAATCAGTAATCCGGAATAGCGATGGTCCCGCTCGTTCCGGATAATCGGTTCCCTACTGTATTATAAATTATCAGAAATATTGAACATAAAGCAAATGACTTGATTTTAGAAGTTCTCTGTGGTTCTTCTTGTATTAACTAAAGTTTTAGTTCAAATTTTTCTGTCTCTCTTTTTTTAAATTAAATTTTTTTAAAAATTCCCAATCTTCATGTAGATATTTTCTATACTCAACATCTTGAATTTTATCGCTTATGGGCTGCAATACAACTCAAAAAACACGTGTTTTGGACTAAGAACAGGTGTAAATATAAAAATACACATTCTTTCAGCTTCAATACTCGCACAACTCATCATTCTACTTGAAGGTAATCTTCGTTTAAACAAACTGAAGCATTTCCTATCCATTTTGCTTAGCAATGAAAACTTTAAGCCCAATTATCTCAAAACTTGATTTTTTTGAGTTGTGCCGCTATTGCAGCCCATGAGCGATATATATATATGTGTGTGTGTAATGGATAAAATAGGAATACAAATGAAATATATAACTTTGACCAGTGTATGAGAAAAAAAAAAGGAAAGTACAGTAGTTTATTCCAGCGGTTCCCGGTTTTTTTTCTTCTGGCTACTGAACCCTAAGTAATCGACCTTCTTCCGACAGACCTCGTTTTAATAAATAAAGTTCATTAAGGCAATTGTAAATATCATTATAACCTACAAAAACTATCTTTTAAATATTTAATTAGAGGTTTGTAGATTTTTCATCGTTTCATCATTAATAATCTTAAATTAGGTTTTATTTCTGACACTTAAATTTGCAGTCCTTGTTCTATATCTAGTCTAGTTATGAACTTGTTTTTGCTATGTATACATAAATAAATAAAATGAGCCAAACTATGGTTAACTTCGAGATGAAAAGTGCTGTTGAAAATGGTTATTAAGGAAATTTTTTTGTCTTTATTATAGAATTATTTAATTTTGATTTAAAAAGTGCAGTAGGAAATACTAATGCCATATTTTATAAATTTGTGTTCTTTCCATAATTTGTTCAATATATTGTTATTAGAAATATTATATTTTCCTTTAAAAAATGTCATTTCCATGTCATTGGCATTTTACTTGAAATAATTCCATAAAGGCAAACAAAAAATTAAATAAATTATGAATTATTGGTTGTATTTAAATATAATTAGCGGTTTCAAAACTCATCACTGATTATAAGAAATACTGACTTGTGGAACTCTTTTCGCTTTCGAAAAGCGAACTAATCTAAACTCTGGGTGTTTAATTAATCTTGATTATTAGCTTTAGATTTGATCTTTATACTAATCCAATATTATTAGTTTAATGTTTAATTCCCTTATTTTCATTTATTCTTATATATTGGTTGACTACTTATAGTTAAGTAAAGGTGGTAGCTGGTGGTGTCTTTTCCTTCCTTGTTCTACTTTTATTATTCATCATAAAGTGAAATATGACTTGTTAGTCATGTGTTATTGAATATTCTCATACTCTTCTCAAAACTTAGTCTGTGATAGTTGAGTTATGTGCTATTGTTTACCCATTTTCGCATGCATAAATTTTACCTGAGGGATGTTATTGTATTATTTTATTTAAATATATTTATTGTTATTTATACAAGACTGTTACATTGTTGAAATTTTATTTTGTTTGATTTTATTTGAAAATATATATATATATATATATATGTTTACCTTCTGTGCAAATTAGAAAATAAACATTTTGTTGATTAAGTTTTTGTATTTCATTTATCTTCTTTGAACCAATTTTGATTGCTATTTTGAAAATGTCAATTAATTATTTTTACTTGGTTTAAAGATAGCCCTTTTTTTTATTTACAGAATTAATCGGTAATAAGGAACTCTGCTGCCAATCTTTATAAAAAATAATTATTTTTGTTAACAATCTTATTATTTCACAATATTTTCTGCTTTTTAACACTGAGTTATATAGTTATTTTATTTTTTTGTATTCCTTGTAGTTGTATGGTTATATGTTTGTTAAATATTGTGTTTGTATTAAAAAAAAATCCAGGATAAAAATGCCACTGCATTAAATTGGTAGGCCTGTTAACGTCTCCTTAAAATCGACGCTTCTAAATTTGCTAGCTATCATCGTGCAGGTATTTTAAGCTTAATCATTAAATATTACCTATTATAAGTATTTATATTTTATGTGTGCATGGCATGAGGAATGTTGGAGAAAGTTTGTTGGAACAAAAATATGAACATGCTTATGAATTGGAATAATTGATAACTAACACATGCTCACTGTACTTATTTTTCCAGCTCTCATATACTTTAATCATGTAATCAGCAGTAAATTGGCACTTTCAGTTTTTGATACTTTTTCAAATTTCTGAAAAGGTACCAGACATTTTTTTTAATTATTTTAAGATTACTTGATTGTATTCACACTTTTCAAATATATTTTATTATATATTAAATATATTATTATTATTAAATATATTTTTAAGTTGCTAAAATTCTCCATAATTTTGTAATACACCTTATTAAAACTGTGCAATTCAAGTCGTGAATTTTCGCTGATATTTTCAAAGTACATGAATTATGAATTTTTCATTAATTGTAATTTGGCATCCGAAATCTAGAAGCTGAATGTTAACAACTCAGAAGTGTTTTTTTTTTAATTAAAATTAAAAAAAAAATTTAACTAAAATTAACAACTTTGATCTGACTTCTTTGTGATTTGTGCCTTTTTTTCAAAATTGGAAATTTGAGTGCCTTGTTACGCAAGTACTAATTAAAAATATCTTTAAAAAAAAAAAAAAAAAAAAAAACTTTCTCAACATCGTGAACAAGGAAATTCAAGCTTGTATCGTTCAATAATTTTTATGTGTATGATTTACTACGGAATTATGGAGGGGGGAGGGATTTTTTTTCAACGTGTACTGTATAAAATTTAAATGCTTTTTTAAAAAAATAAAAATTATGAGTTATTTTTTTTCGAAAAGCAAATGAAAAACTTCTTTAATGTTCCCTCTCGATTTACAAACTGTCATTTGGGTGCTTAAAAAAAAATTTTTTTTTTTTTGCCTGTGTTCTAAATCTTTCTGTGACTAATAATTAAAAAACGCAATATGCTGTCATGGTACATAACATTTTTTGAAGCTTTTATTTAGGGATTTATAAAATAATAAAGATCGAAATTTTTCAATGACATTTTACTACATACTGTGTTTGAAACAAGGAAAAATTTACTGAGATTATTCGACTTGTGTTTACTGCAGAAAACGGCTGGTTGTATCGGCAGTACTCCTGTGTTGTCTTTTTTTTTTTTTTTTTTTTTTTTTTTTTTTTTTTTTTTTTTTTTTTTTTTTNCCTCTTGGGTCTTGCACCACAGGCAGTAAAACAGGCTGGATGCTCACCATGGCAGTTGCTACTGATGGCTGGAAGGCTTCTGGGTTTCGTGCACAGGTATGAATAGTGTGCACCCGCACACTTCATTCATGCAGATTCGTCGGTGCAAGTCCTTTGGGTATGCCTAAATTTTTGGCATTTGAAACACTGGATTTCATAACGACCGCCTCGAAATCGCCCGGTCTGTACTGGTGTTGATAGTATCTGCTTGATGTTGAAGAGTTCTCTGTTCTTGGGACTATCTAGGAGAGGAGCTTATATCCATCGTCACGACTCTTCCTTGCTCCGTTCTGATTGGCCAATGACCAATATCTGTGATTTCATTCTTGTTGATTCTCCTTCTGTATGGTATTTGTGATCTCATCTGCTGTTGGAATTGCAGGTATGACTGCTGGCTCGATGTTGTTGCTATTAGATGGTATCTCCATACTTTAACTGGTTTGTGACGGAAGCATTTTCTTCTTCCTTTTTCTCTTCTTTTTTGGAGGCTCAGATCAGTCCTCATTCTGTGGTTCTTTCTCCCAAGGCTGGAGTCTCTTTAATTGACTCAGGGATTTCCTGATGTTCTATGGAAATAGTAGCTGTTTCCTCGGGTGAAGGCTCAGACTGTTCGGGCTCTGCTGTCTCATTTTGGACTGTTGTCATTTCAGGTTTCACTGGCTCGATGGATTTTATCTCAGCCGCAATAAGTTCTTCTTCCTTCATCTGATTGTTGGCAGACGAGTTGTTCTGAGAATCTCTAAATGCTGACAATATAACCATTTTTTCTGCGAAAAATTTATATTCGTTTTCGAAGTAATTAGAAGAAATTGGATTCTTTTCGGAACTCTTTGGAAGCACTCGAGATCTTTATCGATAGTAAATGGCTTTTTTTCCAGAACATTAAGGGAACTTTTCTTCATTTCTTCCCGAATCGCTGCGAAATCAAGATGTGGTTCGCTGTAGGTGCGGAAAACCTTCCCTCCGCGGCAGTATCTATGAGTGGACATGGTAGCGTAGAGCGTCGTTATAGACGAAACTTACTTTGCGAGATTCAAAGTACAAATCTGGTGCTGCAAGAATTGCGCAAACATGTTTTATATTCCAGTGAATTGAAATTAAATTATTGTAGTGGTAGATGCGTCACAACATCCAACGGAAGCAGGTGCACTGCGGTTTGTGGAAATATTAATTTTTGAAAATTGAAGCATTGTCTCCGTGATAAAAAAGGCATTTTCTGAATCTTAGTGACTGTTTCTATTTTATGACCTGAACTAGTAGCGTTACATAAATTTTTCACCAAATTAATGAGGTTCTCAATCGCATCTCCAAACTCGCATACTCACAAACATGAATTTCTGGCATGCAGCGTGGACGGTCTTTAATGTGAAGCGCGTTCCTAAAATCGTTAAAAATAGAAAAGTGTATCTTAGATCTATAAATAGACAGAAATAAATAGTAGGAAGCGTTAACAATAATTTTTTCAATCACATCACCTGAGTGCAAGATATATGTTTTATCCTTTCTACTCTATTTGGAATTTTGCCAATCGTTAATTTCCCGTGCGGATTTACCGGTAAATTAAGTTATTGATAAGAATATATTTCAGCAGACTTATAGTTTCAAAAGTCAGTATTTCTAACTGTTGCTTTAGAGCTTAACTTCCTCATTGATTTGAACATTTGTGCGTACATAATTTGCTTTGCAATTATTTTGGTAGAATATTTAATAGTTTTTATCTAGCTTTTCTAAACAATTGTATTTTACGTAAAACTATATAAAAATTTAAATCATGCACGAAATTGAATTTGTTTAAATTGTCCTATTTAGTTTATTTAAATTTAATTAACCTATCATTAAATAAGTTAGTTTATCCTTACTTTGTTATCGTAGTTTAAACTTAAATTTAGTTAGATATTATTTTTATTTACATTGTTTTCTTTATTGCTTCTATTATTCTTTCTTTTGAAAATACTGCTGCTTTGCTTGTTTTTTACAAAGAAAATTCTGTTACTATAGAATTAAATATTTTGTATTCTTTTACTTAAATTTAGTTAGTTTATCCTTACTTCGTATATTTTTGTAAAATTATTTACACATTTTCTTGCAGGTAAATTTTTCACACAATGTCATCAAATCAGCAAACGTAAGTTCAAAATTTAATTAATTATTTTTATTTTTACCTGCTAAATGAGATTGTATAATTTTGCATTTTCTTCACCTTGTTAAGTGTTACTATTTGATTCTTTTGAGTATGAAAATTTTGAGAAACTATTAAGAGGAAATCGGAAAAAGATTTTGCTTATTTTATAAATATATAAGAGTTTAAATGTTTAAAGAATTATTGATCTAAATTTATCAATTCTTTTTCTGAAAACAGTTGAAATAAAATAAATGCTTGTCTTTAATTAGTTATCGTATTGAACACTTATTTTTATGTATGAATGCAAAAAGTATGTTTGTCATCACAGTAATATGATTTTTTTTTTAAATATTTATTTGTAGCATTGTTATTAGATTTTTATTTCTGCAGCAAATTTTGCTCTTATACAAATTTAAATACATACATTTTTAAATAAGTTAATACTTAAATGGGAGGTTATCTGTTATTTGGTTGAAATTCAAGCCTTCATTTAAATTTAAAAGGTGAATAAGTGTAATTTTTCTCTTTAAACGTTTAAAAATAAATTCTTTATATATATGTCTTAAGCAATTTGCTTATAACTTTTAAACAATACAATATAATTGTGATTGCAATGAACATTATTTTAGTGTTTAAATGTTATCTGGTATTTATATATATACTAACATTTTGCCGTTTATTCCAATAATTTTATTTGAATATTTTAAGGCTTGAAATAAAAAATAAGATTCTTAGATGGTTTATAATTACTAAAAAATTTTTTTTAATTGTCTGCTTTGGTATTATGCCTAAAATTTTTGTTTCTACCAATTCTGATTAAAACCTAGAATATTATGCTTTTACCCCAATGTCTTTTTTTCCTCTAAAAAATAAATTTATTTTAAATTTAGCAAATGATTCCGTAGATTTAAAATGTTATTAAAATCATAACATCGTTGAAAATATAGAAGAAAAAATATGATTTTGTTTAAATTGTTTAAAAAAGTTTTCTAACAATGTAACTGGAGAGTAAGTTTAAATTAACTTTAACTTCAAATTAATTTTATCCATTTAAAATTATTTTCATTTCTATAAAAGAAACATTGAGAATTGTGATTAATTTCTTTAGTTAACACTTAAGAAAAGCTTTTAAGGAACATTCTAACTGCACATGATTCATGCATTTACAATTACTATTGAAAAAATAGAGAACCTGATTCGTGAGTTTTACGCTAGATCAATTGACCAATGACGTTTTTTCCTGGATGAAGATCATTAACCACATAAAATGAGAATGGCCCTTCAGTAGCCTATCTTTTAGTTTTATCATATAGATGTTTAATCTTCTCTTTTTCTCTTATCTTTTTCATTATTTTGTTAATTAACATGATAAAAAATGGTTTTGTTTAAGCTAATATTGTTCAGTTGCTAAGTGATTTAATAAACTCATTTTTTTTTTCTCTTTCAAAATTTTACTTATATAGTTAAAAGTCTTCATGATCTATCTATTATCTATATCATAAATAAAAAACATTCATTATTTTTTATGTAATTTTATGTACAATTAATTAGAATGGAAGAAACAGCTAATTTAAAAAAAAAAACTTATTTGTAAAAGTTGTAAGTAAAATATGAGGTGCGTTTATAAAGTAAATATATCACATAGGGGCAAAAAGGTAATATTTTATAGCAAATTTTTGTAATTCTAACGTTTTGATTCTACTGTAATGCGGAGATTTTTTTTCTACCCACTGTGATTGTTTTAAAGATGTCATTAAAAATTTACTATAATTATAGTTAAATTTTATTAATATCATAATTTAAATGTTATTAAAAATTAGTAATGACAATTCATTTCAAGATATATTACCTGATTACCAGAAATATTATTTCTGATACTAAGAAATTTATTTGATTTGAAGATTGTGTTTTAAAACTCATAATTGTTAGGAGTTTTATAATACTCATGTTTCAAGTGAGAAAAAAAAAAATCCTTTTTTAATAAGTACTTTTTGTAGATGCATAAAAAACTACACAATTTTTTTTAATTTTATTTTTTAATTTGCATTCGTAAAAATTTTCAAATTTATTATACACTAAAGTGTTATTTTGCTAATTGAAACTTATTAAATCTATGTTGTTTTTTCTAAAATCGAATGATTTAAATCAAGCTGTCTTCTTCAAATTGAACATGTTTTCAGTAGATAAGCCAAATCAGAATATCATAAAATGCAAAAGAGTACTCTGTTATGTTTTTTAATATAAAAGTTAAATGTAACAATATGGTGCCTTCAGATGCTGTAAATACTTAGTCACATGTTGATCATAAATAAATAGCCAGCAGTAGTGGATATGATTCATTCCATTTTAGGGATTCATTTAGTCATTATATGAAAACAATTTCTGGAATATTCATCTTTTCAGTGAGAACACTTCAAACAAATTTTTTTTTTCATTTAAATGTGCAGCTGAAAACATGACGAATATACAATACAGAGTTTACACAGAGTTCCATGACTCAGAAATTTCTGATAGTTACCCTTTTTTTTATGTTTGTCGTGATAGACAGAGACCTTGCATTGATTCCTTGTATTCAGGGATTTAATTATACCCATATTCCTGAGTATCTCCGTTACTGGAGATAGTTTATTTGTGACATTTGCTTTGCATTGAAAAATCTTGCAAATGAATCTCAGTAAATTTAAATCAAAATCCAGGATGCGTACAGACTCCTTAGAAACTCGAAATAAAAATGTCTCCAAGGAGTACTTGGAAGTACTTAGATTTCTAAATTAGTCCTTAGAAACTCCTTATATTATTGTGTTGCACAGATGAACTTACTAAGTAGGTACGCTGATGAATTTGCTGTCCAAACAGGAAAACTAAATGATATGACTTAGCTGCCAAAATCTAATAGTTTAAGAAAAACTTTAAAAGAAATTGAATTGCAAACATTAGAAGAAAAAAATAACAGCAAATAATTTTAATTTTACATATTACAAGCAAACTTAATAATTTACTGTGATTTTTTGTTGTTGTTGTTGTTGTATAAAATGCCTTAGATTTTCTTATGTATTCAAATTTAAAAATATGAGATTGGTAGGTTTTTATGTTAATCTTTAACACCTGTACTTTAACAATATTTATTAAAATATTTGAAACTGGAAAATGTATTTATGTGTAAAAGTGATAACTTTATTTATTTTTCTTGATGAAGTTTGACAAAATCAAAATTTATTTCAAAAGGGCTAGAAAAAAATATACAAACTATACATTTTTGCGAGTTCCTTATAATAACAGCTTTTTAATTTTTGATATGTCCTTAAAATTTTGAACTCCTTGGATTTCTTCTTCTAATCTCTGTATGAACCCTGTCAAAATCTAACACAGCTTCACTTTTAAAAACATGTTTTGAACTCAATGGGAAACATGACAACCGTGAGGAAAGATGCAATGGGAAACATCACAATTGTGATGAGAGACTTAATGTTAAGCATAACAGACAATTGTGAGGAGAAAAAAAAAATTATGAAGGTCATTTGTCACTAAGTGACATTACTGAATCAAATGCAAAGTACTAAAGCTTTTTGTTTAAGTCCTATATTTTAATTCTTCATAGTATTTTTCTTTCACCTGATAAGTTAGCCATGAAGGATTTGTGAGATAAACTAAAGTCTGTATCTAAGAGAAGACTATGTTTTTTTTGACATTACAGCAATTCGCATAAATTTTTCCTTTCAAGACATTTTTGGCTCAGCATTTTATTTATTATTTTTTTAAGGAAAAATAATTTGCCGCAATGAAATTACTGGGAATTCTGGGTTCATTTACCTATTATAATAAAGACTGCTTATATGTCTTTCTAGGGAATTATGTGAATCAAGGTATGAATGAAATTGCGCGCAACAGAAACTTGAACAAAATAATAGAATGTCATTGTTAAATAATAATTTTAATAACATAACTTAATATGTAAATTTGACACCCAATATTATTTATATTTAAAGCAATACAGGAAGTCTTTTTAAGCAATCAGTCTAGTGAACTTGAAATATTCTATACTGGACTCTTACTCTTTTTATAGCTTAATCACCTGGAATTGATAAAGCCTAAACTAGATTTTTTCATATAAAGACTAAATACTTATGTACTTAAATAAAAATAAATAGACGTATAATCGATTGTTTTATGTTTTTTTTTCTCTCCCTCGTATAAACAAACTATTTTATTTTAACATTAAGAATTAATTAAGACTGCAATGAAATAACGCGTAAATCGAGAGACTTATACATGAGAAACGTATAAACGGTGCTTTAATGTTTTTACATGTTATAGCTATTAGCTTTGTTTTTGTTGGTTAGCTTTGTACCAGTATTTAAATAGTCTTTTTCTTTGGTACCACTCAGGACATCAAATTTCTGTTTTTATGAATAAATGTGTTTCTTTTATTACAAATTTCATTCCAGAAAGCAAGCAAATTTAAAAAAAATATTTCAAATTTTATACAATCGTTTAATTTTAATATTTAATACTCAGAACATTACTAAATGTGTCTTTAACGTCCCTCTCAAATAATCAACTTAGAATGTTTATACCTTATTTTCTTATTCTAAACTTTTGATTTATAAGTAGCATTTTGTGTGGGGCCTCTAGAAATGTGGAAACTATTGCTTTCTTTTTTTCGAGGCAGTTGTCCCGAGGACCGGGACGGCTAAGGGCCCGACCAAAATTCCTCACAAAAAATGTAGTGTTTGACAATTAGTTTTTTTTTTGTAACAAAATTGCCGAAATTTTTTTTCATATCTATCAAAATCTACAATTTTGTATAAAGGGTCTTCAAAAATTCTATAAAATATGAAAATAGGTTTATTATGCTTTTATTCAACGGCCAGCAATAAATCTTGTTCCCGTAAAACCTTACTTTTGCCTTGATTACTGTGAAATTCTAAGTTAAAGCAAAACACAAGGAAGAGAAATGTTGAAAAGTTGTTGCGTAAGCAAAGGATGGGGTTTTGATTTGCTAG